GAGTGATATCGCGAATAGTTTGAGAAGCAAAACACACATATCATCACCTCCACGTTTTAGCATGCTAGATGGAATACCATCTGGTCCATCAGTGTAGGAGTGTTTCAATGTACTGATTGCTTTGGAGATATTTTGTACACTGAATTCTACATTAGTAATTTCACAGGGAGTTACTGGGATTGGTTCTGAATCATTAAATGGTTTTTCGTTAGTTAGTGAGAAACAAAAATGTTCACTGAATAATTCTGTGATAAGTTTGGGATCTTCGTATACTTGTTTGCCTTTAATGAATATACTCCCTCTCGATTTAGAGCGTTTAAGTTTATTTTGGAGTAGTATGGTGAGTGCAGAGGAGTTATTATTAAGTTCAACTGCACGTTTTTCCTGTGCTACTGCTTTTTGTTTACTTATTGCCTCTGTTCGGACAAGTATTTCTGTCATCGTTACTAAAGAGGAAAAGTCATTTAAGTTGTGGAATCGAGTACAATGTCTTTGAAGACGTCTTCTTGTACTGACCGGTATATAGAGATCTTTGGAGAACGTAGGTTTACAGTATTCTAAAGGTGCGATGTTGTTGATGATACTTTTGATGTTGTGATAAAATATATTGGTTAATGTGTCGGTATTGTTTGAGGTAAAGAAAGTTCTCCAATCAGTGCTTCTTAGGTAATTGTGGAAGTTATTCCAATCAACCTTGCGATAGTTTCTACGAAGTGTTACGGTTTTACTTATATCGGTTGTGGTTTTTACATTAAGGCTGCATATGACAATGTTATGATCACTACCTGGGAACTTTTTTCCAATATACAAAGTATTGGGGATGAGGCCACTGGTAAAGACTAAGTCTAAGATGTTTTGATGTCTGGTAGGGCTATCGACATACTGAGTCCATTGTCCAAGCTCTAGACATTCAATAAATGATTCATAACGTCTCGGCGCTTTGACTGGCAGCCAAGAAATTTCGGGCATATTGAAGTCACCACAAATGAGCTTGCCTGTGAATGAGAGGGATGATGCTAGCGTGAATACCTCCGATAATACTGCTATTTCATCTATTGATGCGTTAGGTTGACGATAAACACAGCCGAGCAGTAAGGTAACGGAATTCGACGGCTTTAATACAATCCACACCGAATCCTTCAGTTTGTTTAGTTCAGGCATATCACATAGCAGTGAGTTCAGGCTAGAGTGAGCGTAAATAAGGCATCCTCCGCCTCGTCCATTCAATCTATCGCTTCTATATAGGGAATAGTTATCTAGAGATATGCTTCGGTCGGAAATATTACTGTTAGTCCATGCTTCAGATATCATAATAACTGATGGTTGATATATGGATACAAACAGGGCTAAATCCGTCTTTTTGTTGCAGATCGATCGAGCGTTGATAAGACATATATTAAGCAAGTGGCCTACTAAGTTAAAATGGGTGAGGGTATTTCGGATAAAGTCGTCGTAACCCTCGCGAGTGTAAGATGAGTTTGATGTGAGGGATTGGATGTTCTTCATTAGCTCGGTATTTTGATAGCTAAACTTATTGGGAGATGTATCAAATGAGCTGGTGAAGTTGATTGGGGAGTTTACCCAGGAGGAAAGGGTGGGAGTACTCTGTGATGGAAACTGTACGGAGGAAACAAATTTATGGTTTGCATGTGGTTTGAAATAACCTGGGCTATATGCTTCAACAGAGGTGTCACTAGGGGTCTTATTCCAAAAAAATCTTGTACAGGCCTACTGTGAAGTGTATGGTTATTTACAAAATAGTCTTGATGGTTAGACTCGTAGCCCCTGTTATGGCTTTTTACGTTAGCGCGAGAGGGGTCTGCTACGCGTAACTGGGAGGAGTTGCGACTGTTAAGTTAAGTGAAAAGGATAAGGAAATATCAGTATGTATGAGTCATATATGCATAGCGAAGATAAAGCGAGTTTGAGAAGTTAATTTAAATGTAATATTATTATTATTAATGGCTTTATTCAATATTATATTTTGGTACAATATAGAATTCTCAGCACAGGGTATTTCAACAAGTTACTTACTGAACAACGAACAAAAAAGGCAGTAGCAAATACAAAGAGAAATATAAAAAAACAAAAAAAACTACAAACTTTTAAAATTAAAGACATGTTAAGAATGTAAGTTATTGACTAGGTTAATTCTAACAACCTGTTCGTCACAGAGTATATTTGCTAGGTAAGGTATTATAGAACTTTTATACTTTTGCTTGCGTGCAAGGATTTTAATGTAATTACGTCTCGTTCTACCAGAAGATATACAAGGAGAAAGATAAGAGTGAAGGGGATGGCTAGTATCTGATAAAATAACACCTGCCAGGAGTTTGCATGATTTTAAATGTCTATCCACAACCATATTAATTATGACCTCGAAAGATTCACCACACGTCTTACTAACTGCCTTCAGCACTCTCCGCAATACAGAAAAGTCTTTTCTCAAAAGCCCGGGAAAGAATAATGGAGAACAGTAAAGAATAATGGGTAATATGCAAGAATTGACAAATTGTAAGGGTAAATGACGAGTAATTCCAAGAGCATGCAATCTCTTTATGTAGTAGGTCAGACGGAAAACCTTCTTTGATAACGATAAAACGTGGGAAGACCAAGAGAGATCAGAGGAAAAGGTGACACCAAGATAATTGACCTTCGACACTGAGTTTATCAAGGAGTCTCCGATGGTACAAGCACTATGGGATCTCAAAATAGTGTTTATATCCCGTTCATGTCTCATACTAAAGTTAACAGCTTGACATTTAGATGGATTAAGTATGAGACCATTACCAACAGACCAACAATCAATACGAGACAAAAACTCATTCATTTCTATGGGATGTAAAGAGGAAGAGATAGGCATACATACAATGAGATAATCCGCATATTTCACAAAAGTGTTTTCTGTGGAAGATGGCAGGTCATGCAGAAAAAAAGAGAATAGAAGAGGTGAAAGAACAGCTCCTTGTGGTACACCTTCCTGAGACAGTAGAGAATCTGAACTCTTTCCTCCAAACACAGTGTACTGTTCCCTTCCAGAGACGTAGGAACATAGCCAGTTGGTTATCCAGCTGTCAGTGTTGACGCTGATTAACTTGTTAAGTAAACGTTGTCTTGGTATAGAGTCAAAAAAGTTATTGTCTTAATTACAAACTTCGTAATCTTAAGAATAATATTTATTTCGATGGAAAAAAATGAGAAAAGAAATTATCGCCTAGTGAAAGGGTTAAACGGTGATAATAATAGTAATTGTGTGATAAATATCAACCTCTGGAGTAAACCAACAATTTAAAAAATAAAAACCTTTTAGTAAACTCGGATAAATACTCGTAGAATTTTTCGGAATTTCACGTTACTTGTTGTCTGTATCTTTTATTTGTCTACTCAACAACCATGTAACCCACGTCTGATTTCGTTCGTGAGTCTGTGCCACTTAAAGAGGGCAATGTTCACTTTCAACGATATTTCGAGCTTACTTCTAGCTATTAGCGAGCAGCATGTGGTCGAATATCGGTTATATTTTATCTGATCCAAGCTTATTATTCGTAAGTTGTCTAAAGATGTTTAGTGACTCACATTTATCACGAGAACACGACTGGTTTAATAAAAACAATTATTATCATATTCAACTGTACCAGTGCTTGTTCTAACGTGCTTTTGTTTGACTGTGCTAATGACAGCTATATTTTACTTCCATTCTTATTCTCACACTTTGATTGTAACTTCGCGCGAATTCGGTTACGTTCTGTAACCAAGCTTGTATCCTGGCACGATCTCGGTATCCTTTCGATGCCACGAGATCGCCAGCAAATATAACTCGACTTGGCCCATTAACTGCCTTCTGATATTTGGCTTCTCGGGGATTTTATGGATTCATTTGGTTACGTCCAACCCTCGCCTTCTGATCTATTCTGACACGTGTTTTTTTTGGTAGCGGTGTTCATAGTTAACCTCAACTCGACGCCACGCTACAGATGTAACAAAGTAATTTACCTGAATACTTTGAGAGCAAAATGAGTGCTCATTGTGCATCACGGGAGGTTGTATGACTTGTACAAACTGCGTTTTCAAGCGACTGGTTGACGGTAAGCAAAATGTTTGATGAGCATCAGAGAATTACAGGGGTGTTTGAGTTGCATAAATGACATAACCTCATTAGTTTTATTGGACATGTAATGGCTGAAAGATCTAGATCACTCATACACACCAGATCATGGTTGGACACACGGTTCTACGAATCCGTCTCAACAACCTATCAGCTTACACCACGTAATTTTTAACATATAGAACACATTTCAAATGTACCGTCGAACTACTCCATTTTTAATTTCTTATTTGACTGTATCGTGTCTTTCGATTATTGAGGTGTTACGGACAAAAGCGTTGTCAAACCCTCGATAGCAGTAACATATTTATTCAGCACAAGGTATAGTTCACCTGAAAAGTAAAAAAAACCAAATACATAGTGTGCGAAATCGAGACCCCTTGTTTGTAATTCAGGGTACTAGGGTTCGCAATGCAAGTATATTTCTGGAAAACAAGAACTCCTAAGCGCGTGCCCTGGCAGTCCATCATAAACGGAATTGGGAAAAGATATCACTACCGGTTTCCAGATCAGTAAGAAAAATTAATGGGTCTCAATGAATACACTGAATATCGTGGACGGTCCGATGACTGGATAATATTTAGTACTTTGTGCTTTTACAATGCGATAGGGATGTAGTTTGTGACTATTGATCAAGTAATCAAGAGGTATCCGTCAACAGCGAGTTTTAATTCAGCAGTTTTAATCTAACTGTTTGAACCATTTATATAACTGTATTGTGAGACTATGACGGACTGAAAGAAATTATAATGAATCGCTTAACATGAATGACGATTGCAACAATCATCCGCGCGTGTAAGGTACTAAATTAGCGATGATTTATTCATTAAAGTTGGAAGAATAAATGTATCTGCAACCAGCCCAAACGTTTATAAAAATCAACTGCCGGGGATCCAAGCTGAGATCTGGCGCGGATTTCAAATGACAACTGTTCGTAATATATTTTGCGTTGTAGCGTTTGCACGATGGTTCACACGCGCGGTCATCTTACATTAAACTCTGTGAGCTGTTGTCTTATGTTCAAAAATCCAATTTTTTAGCATGTTGGTACTGTACATAAATATAAATAGGAAGGGTGTACCCACCTGTTTTTCAATTGTTTATCGTTGGTTATGGTCAGTAATTTCTCTCAGTTCATGTTTTATTGTATTAGTAGAAATCTCCGAGCACGAATAAAATACAACCAACTAGGAACAACTACATACATTTGAGTTAGTGATGTCAAATTCATTCATGAATGAGTTTCTGCTCAGAAACTACATAAGTAGTTCATGTATTGTGTATATAACATATAGGTTCATATCTGTCACAAATTTCATGTTAGCCCATAAAGACATTCTACTGTGAAAATGTTCTGTCAGCATCTTTGTGCCTGAGTTACAGTAACTCCGTTACTTGTTCAGTAGGATTGTCTTGTATCTCAATTTCTCAAATCGTATCCTTGACATCAATCTTTTCTGATACCACCAATAGTCTTACTATCTTTGCTACTCCGGGACTCCCTTTAATGACTTCAACTCTTTATGCTTATGAGGTATGGCAACTTGGACCGATGTGCATGTATCAAGTCCTACCTTGCGACGGACATTTTTCTCATGCTTTCCCACTTTTTAAGCCGTAAGGTATGCAAGCGCAAACGGATTAAGATGATGACTGCTGGTTCAGTGTTCGGTTTAGTAATAAACACGTTTGACTTAGCTGGTCGATAGCAGTGATTTCCCTAAAATGTTAACGTAAATATTGGGATTGTATTGTCCGTATCCCACTTAACAGCTTGCAACTAGTGTTTAGTTACCTCATCCTTGATGTAATTCGCACAAGTTGTCTTGTCACGTTCAAATCTGTCTTCAAACCCTTGCAAGTGCTCTTAACGGATTTTCAGAGAATTGTATTCCCATTTGTAACATGGTCTGTGTCATAAGTTTCATGTGTAATGATTTTGTCGCTGTAGATCTGAAATATATTGTTTTGGTACCGTATATAATGCATTTAATGCCAGCAATTTACGTTAAACGTGCAATTCAAGTAGTGAAATAGAGGATTAATGTTTCTTTTTAACAGTAGAAATTAATACCTGTAAAATCTGTTATGAACATTAACTTTTTTCATGTTGGACAATGCATTATGGTAAAGCTGTTGCGTAATCGGCTTAAAGGGTTGTGGTCTCAAGCTCGTTTGGCAGTATAGTACATCGTTACGGTAGATTAGTTTTAACTCATTAGTGGGATTTGCCTAGTATCTTGGGAGCAAGCGATAGCATTTGGTTCACTGTCTTTACGTATTTTCAAGTCATCAGTATACATTGGTGTTTTAAAGATAAATAAACCTCGGGAATTACTGACAGTAAGTGCGACTAATATATGGTTATACATCAAATTATGGGGAGATTTCATCCAACATAGTAAGTCATTAAGGGTTAACAGCCGTAACATTAACGCTTGCTTGTGATAAGTTCATAATTGCACCAACATGTGCCCTTTATACTATCCATTAGTTCTTGACATCAGTATGCATGAATAAACAAGAAAAGCTACATTGGTGTTAACCAGTTGACGGTGAGGTACGTCTGTATCAACAGAATCACCTTTTAACCCATTCATTTGAAGATGGTTTTGATTCAGCATACAATACACGTTTCCTATCCACTTTCAGCTTGTTTACACTTGCTAACTTAATGCTCTTATAGTTCTACAGTGCATAAGAAACATAACTGTCGTAACTTAAGTCTACTATATGTTCACTATGATTATGTTTTACAAATAACAAAGGTTGTGTACCGGTAGTTAATATCATTGTCTACTTCTCCGAGATTATCAATAAACGACTCAGTAGTTGAGTACAGGTTTGTATATTACGATGCGAAACTCCTACGACCACTTGTGCCATTAGTGCTACTGATTCTACCAATTTTGATAATCTTATCTCCTCGTGCTTAAACAATTTTGGAACTTGAACTCCTGCACATTAGTACCAGGTCTATACTTTGCTCATAACTGACCGATTGATCTATATGAACCACACAAGGTCTGTCAATGTTATTTGGCCAGTCATACTTCAGTCAACAATAGAGGTCTCAATTTATGAGTGATTGGATGAAGACCAACTAGAATACCAATGTAACATACATTCTTAAGTTGTAAGACGTCGACTATAATGAATGACTGAAGTGTCAAGAAATAAGTGAATTTTCTGTGGGTAATATACAAAGAATCTTGTGTGGATTCTTGTATATGATATGTGCTAACAATTACAGAAGCTCTGTCTGTACGCTTTAAATTGATATAAATCATCTTAATTCCAGTGACATCTTTCCTTCACCACTTTATACTTAAATGTATTTACTTTTTCAATATTAGCGTTCATCCATTACCGTACACCAAGTTAGGCTTGAAAGAAATTTTTAAAAATTGCCAATTTCACACAAGTTCGTGTTTGGAAAATTTCTACTTTGATAGGTTACATCCGAAATCCTGGTTAGTAATGATGATCTGTTATCAACGACTTCGGATTATCCCGTCTCATCGAATCGTTCCCGAAAACCATTTACAAAGAAAGAAAGCCTTGCTATACTGAATTATATTCGAGATAATAACTTACTATCGTAAGTTTCCCTTATTTGAAAGTCATAATAGGCAGCAGTGAGTTCTGTAATCCTTGAAATGTTACTATTATTGAATTGCTTAGTTCTCTTGATGTTAGATGTATCTCAAATGAGCACGGATGTGATTCTTTCCTTAACCGTTTATTTGTGGATATTTATTTCGTAATCTAGTCGAGCTATGTCTACTTGAATACCTTTTTGCAAAATTAATATGATGCCAGGATATTTGACTGAAATGTTGCAAAACCAAAACACTTAATACCAATGCGATAGACTGTACAGTAATATTGGTACATACTATAGGATTCTGCGTAAAAATTAGTTACGTTTAGATGACCCTGATCGACCTCGAGCTACTCATGTTACAAAATATTGTTTGTTATCACCACAACTGTGGAATGGACGAAATATAATGATCTCCGATTGCTTAAAAATGCTCTAAAATCATTTGTTTGATTGTTTTTGTTAGATACGGGGTGCATGTTATGATCAAGTATGGTTCAGGCTGCATAAAAGAGACTCCAACAATTTCCAAATTTACACTTAGTGGATTGTCTGGTATTCGCATGGGATGACTTCTCATGATTTTTCTGTCTTCAAATTATTGTCCTGAAAATTCATTTTCATGTTCTTTGAATTGGACACAAGTTGACAATCATTTAGGATGAATCCTATATAGTTTGTACGTGTTAGTACTTCCCATGCTTGCTTAACGTTGTATTGCTTAGTTGACTAAACATAATTTTTGGCTACACTTGTTTTACTAATTCCTTGTTTATCAAGGGTGAAGTCAAAGAACGATTCAGAACATACTGGTATCAATGAACAGTCAATTAAGCTTTCAGTGGGATCGTTTGTTTTCCGAAAGTCAAAATGTTGTTGTAAAACCTTTCAGTTCTTTCTTTGGTAAATTACTATTAACTCAAACTTTTGTTTATGTGTCTTAGACCCTACAACTCATTTACTAGGCATGCTTTATCCTAATGTTTGTTTATCTTTCAGATTGTTAAACAAACGTTCAACTTACAGTCATTTAGAAGCTGTTAAGATTTCAAATCACCGTGCAGAAAGCATACGCAGTCATGTTCGACACGTTTTGCTTCCTATGCTTAAAAATCTTCCGGTTCAGGCAAATAAAAACATTGATAGTAAAATTACTACCAAAAATGATGAGTGTATAAATCTTGTTAACAATAATCAAACTTTGAGAAATGGTTTTTATCGTATCGGACGACAGCGATATACTTTAATGGAGGATGAAGCGATAATGAAGTATTTGTTGGAGAATAACCTATGGAGGTATGGGACATATATTGCTTGGCTTCTATTGTTTTGTACAACCGTGAACTGTGGATTCAATTTTTTGGAGTTCGTTTATTTTCTTGGTTAAAATCCTACTTTCTGTTAATTCGCTTAGTTTCGTTTAGTGATATAAGGTAAATTATGATCGAGGACTGAATAACTAAATATTCATTCTGAGATTCAACTGTTTTTGAGTGTATCGAAAGTCGCCACGATTTGCTTGAGGCAGGAATAAGTTTTCAGTTTATATAGCTCGATGGTGTCGTCTCTACAGGAAGGTCTGACCACTGTGTCAAGGTGGTAGCTGCTGTCAGATATTCCTTGTTACTAATATTCTGTCCAGTGATTCGTAGTTTTAGTCGTTGCCTAAGGTAATTATGCGATGTAAAGTAAAAAATTCTAGACTCGTAACCATTGGTTCGGTCAAAATGTAGTAATTGTTACGTATATGATAAGTACTAATTGCTTTTACGTGTAAATTAATCGTGCATTATTCTTTATGAACATATGTGTAATTGTCCCGAAGTTCCTTATAGGTTAAATGTGTTTTCTGTTTAAGGGACCTAAAAACGCGTACTGTAGGGCATTGGAAAATGCGTCACGCAAATGAGTCGATTATATTTTGAAGAAATAAAAGGAAGGATGGGACAGTTGATAAGTAATGGTGCAAACATAGTATTTCATAAGAGATAGGGTTCAGTTAAAAAAGTACGATCAAGAAAGACTTCGTTCTCCTAAGCAAGTTATGCTAACTTCTCTTAGCCATGTATGTGAACGTCTAGAGCATCACAACCGAATTCGGTAATATTGAGAGTTCCAGTCTATCCTAAGTGTAGTGCCATAGAAGAATCTGTCGGAAGTAAAGGGAATCCCTAAACATCGTAGAAAGATTTCTTGCTGACGCTTAGTACTTCAAAAGTGAACTACTTTCGCGCGATATTAATGAGAGTCTTCGTTGAAAAATTTCGTCAAATATATGTAATGTTTTATCTCATCGTTGTTATTTCCACACTCAATATTTCAATCTAGGCGGGTAAGAAGTCGCGCTTTATGGAAAGAGATGGCAAACGAAGGTGTAACTAGCCATTCATCAGAATCAATGCGGGCGCGCTTCCGTCACCATTTAGTGAATTCAGTGTATGCCCGTTTACTGAAATCACTCACAAAAAACGAGCAGGTTGAACTTCATAATATCTTCTTTGGAGGATCAAAGAAATATACCAATCCAATGGAGGAAAATAAATATAATGATGCACTCAATGATGATGGTGTTTGTCACTCATCTTATTCGATTGATGAATGTAGTCTGGACTTGAATAAGTCTAACACAATTACGACATGTGTGCTTTTCAGTCAATCACAAAAGAATCACTTAGACAAATCAATCAATAAAGAGAATTCCCCGACAACTGTTCAACGTGATAAACTCGGGGATGTATTACCAGATCCTACGAAAAGTAAGAACTTTTTTACAGCACTCAATATCTTGAATAACAGTTATCTGTTTCTAAAACGTAAATTAACACGATTCGTACACAAATGCATCGTACAGTCGATTGCAAAGGCAGTAATAAACACGCCTATCGAATATTAACAGGGACACGAAATGAATCAATGAAAGTGCTAGTTATGTGTATATAAAGGGCTGATGCAATTTCATGATCGATGGTTAAATAAAAGGGATAATATTAATAATCACTCTGAGACTAAATGAGTTGCAGGAATTCAACTCAATTATTATTGGTTGATTCATTATTTATTTATTTAAACACATAAACACTGGCACAAGGAGGCACCAAATAGATATGCGCCACATAAATCATCCGATTTGTGTGAGGGCCGTGATACTGCCCGGGTGCCCGGACAGAGGCAGGTGGTTTTCTTAGGGGGCCACACCCCGAGCCTTTGTTCTAAAGGTCTAACCCACAAGGCAGTGGAGCATCGTGAGGCGATGCAGTCCCATGGTAGCCGGTGACCAACAATTGGTTCATACGCCATTTGTTCCCGCAGGATACTGAAGCCCATGTGCACCATGGGTTTGGAATCCGGTTAAAGCGCCGGATATTCGGTTTTCGTCCTCTCATTTTCGTAAACAATACCCCCGCCACGAGAATGCAGTGGGTAGGACTTCCCTGGCAGAGGCTGTATACGCGTGGCCGTGTGACAGCATTTCGAGAGGGAGGGCGGGCCCGCCCCATTCTCAGCCATACCAGGGCATGGTTAACAGCCTTTGGTTTGCAGCTTGTGAACATCATGGCTTATTTACTCAGCTAATAATATATTGTTCAGTAGATATTCTAATGAAGTTTTTGTCTCGCTGCTGAGGCTTAGAATGTTCACACAAAGTACTGTCATTCTTTTTTACACCTGTAATGGATAAATACACAAATACATTTCTTATAAGTAATAGTAGAAACTGATATAAAATAGTATTTCATTCTAGGGTCGCCTAGTTTTCACCCAAGGTTTCTACTCAAAAAGACGTATCATGAAATCAAGCAAATTCGTGCGTATTTTTTGTTCTTGTTTGATTTCTCACAGGTTTTAGTCCTTCTCTTCGCGATCAAATATCTGTTTGTTCGTATGAAAGTCCTAAAAGATTTTGTAATAACTACCCTCGGCCACCAACAATCGTAGCAACAAACACGAAGAAAGCATCGGAATCAAATGACTTACCAAATGCTTCAACCAGTCTATCGTCAATTAACGAGTCTCTGTTAGAGCTGATACAAGGTACTCCATCCAACGATTCCAGTTCACCGTCGGTAAGTCTTAGTCTATGTTGAATTACCCTATGTGAACAGTTCCCTTTGAGATATTGTTTACAACGATTGAATAGTTATCTCTATTTTCTGCAAAAGTTGATTTGTCACTTACTGCAAAAATCCAAATTTACGTTCTTGGTATCTGTTGCCTGATTCCATAATGATAATGCTGTTAATGTGATGTATAGCATATTTAATCATGTATATTCTGTCGAATTAACATCTTTAGAACAACGGTATATCAAAAGTTGTATGTTGGATGCGCATACCATATATACTAATCTTGAACGACAGAGAGGCAAACAAAAGATCCAGCTATTGTATGAAGCTTTGGGATTCGGTAATACACACTTTCGTGGCCCAGTATCTCACTCCGATTTCATCGTACGAAGATGCTGAGCTACAAAGGTGGTGAACCTGACTTGATAGCTATATATCCACAAAAGTGAATGATAATGATTAGGTTATTGGTGTGATAAATAATTCAGAACATAACAAAGATGGTCGGTCTTAGCAAAAGGCTTATTAGAATTAAAGACATCCACATACATAGTAAGAGATGATATCGAATTGGAAGATGTGTGTGGTATGTTAAAATAAAAATAACAGCTACGTAAATGAGTGTAATAATGAGGCAAAAATGACACGAAAAAAGGAACGAACTCACTTAAAGCAGAAGAATTCTACGCATGTGTATAGTAAAAAATATTCTGGTGAGTGAAATGTCATAATATGAATGGTATGTCTACAAAATTCTAGCTTGCTGGGTGAGTGATATAGCTGCGTAAATGTCATGATTTAATGTCAATACGAACAGCAACAATAATTCCATGTAAGTGATAATGACACTAATGTGATAATGAGAATACGAGAATTCTATATTGTACCAAAATATAATATTGAATAAAGCCATCAGCAATAATAATAATAATAATAATAATAATAATAATAATAATAATATGATCATAATAGAATGATCCGCCTAATAGATCAATGAGAAGCGTTGATGCGAGGACAAAGTACCGATAAGATAACTTCGCTGAATGCTATGGATTAGAGATTGAATCTTTTGAGTTGCTTGTCGATTAAGTTAGCTACTTAGTTCATCCGTCGATGCGGTTATCGTTTTACGGACTGATTATTCTTATCCTACAAGCAGAAACTCCATCCCACGTAAACGCAAATCCATTAATAATTTACCGACGCTATTTACTCTACTGCAGCTTATTAGAACATGTTAATATTTCGCTATTATTTGTTCTTATATTCCATCGGCACCACAGATCAATATTCGTTACATTCTACATCACTTATTTTCAAGACTTGTTTTCTGTCAAGCCCATAAACGATAAACGATTTACTACTCTGTTTTCACGGTATTTTGAATCGCTTATGTGATGGTGTTATTTTATCGTCGAGATAGTCACAACGCAAATGCTTATTTTTTGTACGCTTACTAATTTGCTCATAATCGCACACTATCACTTTAATCTCTTTCCGTGACTATATGATATTCATGTATTACTTTTTACATAAGTATGACACTCGTATTTTATACTCACTCTTCACGTGACACTGTACTCTATCAGAAATATTACAAACTATTTTCGCTACATATCGTTAACGTTATCCACACACCTCAGGGTTACTTTCAAAAACAGACATTTTTTTTCAAATTAATGTGCTATTGTCAACAGAGGGGCTATTTTATGTCTGTACTACTATTCAGCGAATAATTTAACTCAGTTTTAAGAGTCAGTTAATACATATAAGAAGTTGATGGACACATACATACTTGCATCAAATGTGACCCAAGTTACATCCGAGTAATTATTATTATTATTATAAGCTTTATTCAATATTATATTTTTGGTACAATATATAATTTTCAGCACAAAGTATTTCAACAAGTTTCCGTTCCTTACTTCTTGGTCGGTCTTTACGATAAATATTGAGTGATCGCCAGTTAGATGCTAGCAGTCCAGTGAATGAACATCTGAATAATGTATATTCCTTTCGCTGAATATTGCCAGCGACCACATTATCTCTTATTGGGCTTTTTGTAACTTTGACAACGAAAAGTTGTACACTTTTCAGAAATGCACCTGAATATGTTATGCGATTAATAGACATAATGATATATTAAAACAAACAAAAATAGATAACTTGTTGAAATATCTAGATGGCAGGAACAGGTAGCCCAGATGCTCAAGCAGGCCGCCTAAGGACTTAATATAGTCAAACATATGATTGACAGAATAAATGGACAGATTAGAATAATTCATCTGTTGAGGTGTTTAAATAAATCACCTAGGTGTGTAACAATATTAATTGCTGCACATTTACATTGACCAGTTTGCCACGCCCTTTCCCAGACATCAGTAAGACAGCAATTTAAAGTAATAGCGTTGGAACGTAAGTCAATCTCATAAAATGTGCTTTTCAGGAGTGTTATACATTTCAATTTCCAGTTGTTTAAACGATAATTAGATTACTTTACGTCATAAATACAATAAAACGCTAAGTTATTGTATTTATCAGTGGTTATATTGTACATTTGAATGTTTTTGTTCTCAACGAATAACTGTATAATTCCTTTTTGCTTTTAGAATTTATCACTGATGACATCGGATTCATCACCTTCATTTGACCCAATGAAATATCCTGTATGGGTGTCAAAGTTGATAAACTGCACCTGTTATATAACAACGCCTTTACAGGCTATATTGCTTGTCTATATGACAAATGGTTCCGTTGCAGAAGCGTACAACTTTTTGACTACCGGAAAACGTCGTCCATCATCAATAACAAATTTTAGTCCGCCTCTTTGGTTACCTGATGATGATGAATGTTTAGGTTCAACTGATCAAAACAAGCTTGATGAACTTGTCAGTCGTTTCGGTTGGATAGAAATAGTTAAACGTGTTGGTTTTTTACAAAATAAAAACAATATTGATACTTCTGATATCATTAAAAAATAGTATTTCAAAGATTTCCTACATAGTTAACGTCTCCTCCATTTCATAAAGCATTGTTGTTAGTATTTTATAATACTGTTCGATCTATATTACCGCGTGTTTAGACAAGATTTTTTTCTGTTTATTTTTTGTATACGTTTTATCTAAGAATTTTGATTGTTGACTTTGTTTTAACTTGTTCAGTTTATTTATCATTGGTTAAACTCTTTGTAAAAAAATATCTTTTCATTTATATGTATGGTTGTGTTTGTTTACTATCAAGATGTGTATTTTATCCAGTTGATCAATCTTCAAACGAGTAATTCAGTGGAATGTTAATTATGACTTATGAATCACTTCATTTCTGATGTCATTTAGTTGACTCGATGGTCTGGACATTCACGTTCTGACCATTTGGTGGAATTTTTAAATCCTATCTTATCCATCATTGGTTTGAGGAATCTGGTTATTACCTTTAGATCTTTTTAATAGATGTAACATATTAGAAGATTATATATTTCACCACTGAATTGCACGAAATTTCCACTGACAGTGATTAGGTTTAGTTATTATCCAATAAATTGGTTTTATCAAGGTTACCGTTTGTGTAATTTTTCGTCAATTGATAAATGGGTGGGTGTAGTTAGAGGATTATGGCTTCATCTGAGGATAGCAATCAAACCATATGTAGTATTCATTCGGTTAAATCATATAGACATGCCATGCCGATGTTGTGCCCTTGTTGCATAGTAAGCATGAGTTATGTTCCTATAACTAAAGCATCAAACAGTGCAGGTGCATTGGATCACTGTAATACATATACTACCTAAACTATTACTGAACTAGTATACTTAAAACTACCTTCTATTACATGTTTGTTCTCTATATCCAATGTTACTATTTATATCAAATTGATCATGCCTGTAAACTGGCGTGAATGCTGTAATTATTATTTTCAGAATATATATTATTATTAGAACTTTACTTCATCATAGTATCGTTAGATGATAGGACTCTTTTGGAGGATTAACTACTGGAAGGTCAGCTTATCACATTGTAAAACAAACAGTCTAATCGCACACTACTTACAAGTGATTTATCGTATAGTGGAATCTCATGAAAATGTAATGCTTTATATTAGTGAACATCTAGGGAACGAACAGGTTACTAAGGTATATCTCAATATTTCATATTTAAGTATTATTGCATCCTTTTTAAGTCCGACTTTGTTATGGATTAAGAACAATAAATTCAGCATAACTTGGTTCATTACCATGGTGTATAGTGCCGATATATATATATATATATATATATATATATATATATATATATATATATATATCGAGGAAGCAAATCATTTTACAAACAGGAATTACAGTTGGATTTGTAAGAAACTACTAGTCTCAATATGATTCGTCCCAGTAACTCATAACTTTAACGCTAGATACTGCATTTATCGACCTAGTTCTATCTCTTAGTCTGATCTCTTGATAATCAGTGATAATTTTCTTTTCGACAAAATCATTTACTTAAGCTGTACATTATTTATAGTTGTAATTATGTCTACAGAAAGACAAAAAATTGCATCATACATTGGTTCGAGACTCTAAACGTTGAATGAAGATTCGTAATAATCAGACAGTTAGAGAAGAATAGAAGGATGAAAGAAGGAATGCAAAAGTTACTATTTCGATACAGGAGGACTTGATCATCTTTGGACAAATCACTCCAGAGAAGTCCTCAGAGTAATCGACACAATCAAAGGAACTTGATCGAGGCGAGGCTCGATCAAAAACTTGTGCATTGGTGAGGCGTTTACAATCCATCAGTTCAAGCCCTAACTCTGTGCAAAAACGATACGTCCAACCTCTCATCCTTCCTTGGATCTAGTTTTCTTCTGTAGTGTGTTTCGGTCTTGCTTTTTTTCTAAAAAATCATTGTTTTATAATTTTAGACCTCAATCAGTTATTATTACCCTCTAGCAATTTTCCGTGATTACTACTCAGTTATTTTGATTAAGATCATGAATTGATCGATGTTAAGCCACCATTGAAAACCTGAAACCAATTTTTGATGCGATCTCTTCTATCTTTCTGTAGACCTATTTGCCATACAACTATAAATACTAATGTACAGCTTAAATAATTTATTTCGTTGAAAAGAAATTTTTTCCGCTGAATTCTTATTTTTATACAATGACTCAATGGACTATTTTAATCATATTGATTTTAAGTGGCTTACTGAGGATTTTTCTTCAGCTCGAGTTGTAAAGAACTATGGTCGGATTATGTGATTCTAAGAAAATTGTTAGTCATTTAAAGATCCCCATTATATTGTTAGTTTTCTTACTTATTCTAGACATTAAAACTCTTCTACTGTTTTGTTGCATCAATTTGATATAGTTGTCGAAAACTATAACTACGGCTTAGTAAACCCCTTTTATCTTCTATGAGAGAAAATGTTTCAGATAAATTAATTTTTGTTACGAGGTTCATCGGTAACTTTTGATGGTGTTTTCGAACTCATTCTATTCACGTTTTTTCCATCGAAACCTCCTTGAGTACTTTGTTTATTCTTTTCATTAATTCTACAGGTATTTCATGCACAACGATCCACTGTCTCCTGTCCCTTCAGAACGACTTCTTGGACCTGGGTACGGACAAGGTGTATGGCCTTTACGTGAACGTTTGGCACTTGCTACTGCTCTTTTAGATGTAGATAACCAGCAAGGAAGTTGGGCTGCCACTAGTCGTCGTATGATGTGTTTTTCTAGGCCAGGTCGACCATCTACATGGTGTTCATCTAAAGCTTGTGCCAAACAATATGCTCTGCTTCTGGATTCCATTGAGTTAGTTAAACGCCAAAAAATGCCTGGAAGTGATTCACAATCAAGCCAGTTGAGTCTGGCTGAACGCGTTGTGAAGCGTTTGAGTGCTGAACGTGCAGAAGAGTTGAGATCGCGAATACGATGTGGTCAGCGTTACTACAGGTGGGCTGTGTTCCACTCATACATTTCAAATTAATGGTTTGTGTGTAACAGTTTATCTCCTTTCAGTTCTTACCCAGTAAAATTTTATTACATATTCAAATTTTTTTCGAAATAGTTACCATGTTCGCTGTGCTACACGTACATTTTAAGTGGATCAGTTGAGTCAAGAGACATCAGTATATAGATTTAATTAGGAATCCCTCTTTTCTTATTCCAATTATTCCAGCTTGAGTATATGAGCTACACCATTAAGTCCTCTTGTGACAATCACAGAGGAATCAGTTTGACAAATATAGTGTCTAAAATATCAGCTTCAATAATACTTCGAAGCCTAACCAAAGCTTGTGAAGAACAGACTAGAGAAAATCAGGCTGGTTTTCGACCTGGACGTGGTTATATAGATCAGATATTCACACCACGTCAGGTTCTAGAACACAGACACACATTCAGACGCCCCACAATCGTAGTATTACTCGACCTTAAGGCGGCATTCGACTCTGTTGATCATGAGGTTCTATGGCAGTGTTTGTCACTGAAAGGAGTACATTAACCTTATACAGGCTCTCTACTCGAACACAACTGGTAAAGTAAGAGCTTATGGCGAACTGCCATCAGAATTGATTACCTCAAGTGGTGTTCGTCAGGGTTGTCCACTCTCTCCATTCTTGTTCAACTTTGTCATCGACGTATTTTTAGAGATAACACTTTCCTCGTCTAGATTCCCAGGAGTTGAACTTCTACCTGGAGATTCACTTATTGACCTAGAGTATGCCGATGATACAGTTCTATTTGGTGAAGACGCTGACAAAATGCAGTCTTCTGACCACTTTAAGCAACGATGCAAGCATGTTCGAGGTGCAATTCTCCCCCTCGAAATGCAAAATGTTACTTCAGGATTGGGTTGTGTTGACACCCGAACTAATGATAGGGAGTGAAGTAATTGAGCGTGTCGATCGCTTCACTTATCTTGGAAGACTCATCAGCCCTTGTGTTCTGGTGTGACGAAATCTCACACGGATACAGAAGGCTCGACTAGCTTTTACCAACTTGCGTCATTTATGGCGTAGGCGAGATATCCATCTACCAACTAAAGAACGGGTTTACTGGGTAGCACTTGGTTCAGTCCTACTTTGTGGCAGTGAAACATGGCCGGTAAGAGTAGAGGATATCCGTAGGTTACTAGTATTTGCTCATAGGTGTCTTCGAAATATTGCTCGTATATCCTGGGACCATCGAGTAAGTAATGTAGTTGTTAGGAAACGGGTACTATGTAAGGATGGCAAATCAATTGATGATGTGGTGAAACTTCATCAGTTGAGATGGCTGGGACATTTGTTGCGTATGCCCAACGACCGACTGCCTCGACGTGCGATGTTTTGTTGTGTCGGAGTAGATTGGAAGAAAGCTAGGGGAGGCCAGACCAAAACATGGCACAAGTCCATGAAGTCACTGACAAGTGGTCTGAGTCATATTGGTAGGTGTAGACTACCTGGTTGGGGACCGCGAGATGATAGCGACCGATGGTTAGAGACCCTGAATGACATGGCTCAAAATCGTTTGCAATGGCGCAGGCGCATACACTCTTTGTGTTCTCCCAAATTTTGATCTCCTTATTCCTCCTTGTCTCTTTTTTTTCTCTTCCCAAATTTATTTCATTGTATTATACTCTTTAAATAACATCTCCAGACACTAATCTTCCCGATTACTGTTTATACTCTTATTACCTCTACCACTACGGAATTTGAATCGACCACTTTATCTCTGTGCTAATGTGGTGTGGCAACTCGAACTGATGTACGTACGTACGAAGTTTTACGTTGTTACTGAGTGACTGATTAAGTCCCGACCGTTGTTGCTACCTTGACGTGGTGGTCGGGCTTGCCTATCGTGATGAAGCAACCGAGCTATACTGGCTGGAACAACCGTTCCTCAAGGTCCTACCATGTCAGACAGGTCGGTTGAAGAGCGGTAAGACTAAAAGCAACAAACCCAAGGTCCGAAGGCGAAGTCGTACTGCTGACTGTACAGAGGTGTGACAGCAGTAAGGTGTTTCCTTCAGACAACCAGCATGACAGCGATGCTGCCTTCCCACAAGGAGGGGTGGGGTTAGAAAAGGTCGACCCTAAAAATGCACACCTCACCTTACCCACGGATTTCCGTCTCCGGCGGTAAGGCCCTTTGAAGAACGGAGCTAACACGTCGAAAACCTTCCACGAAAAGGCCGTGCGCGACCGGCCTCAAGCAGTTGTCCCTTGGGCACTGCGGTCACGCTCTCAGGTCACTGAGACCACCTCTAATCCAATTTCCTTTTCAGGTACCTCCAGAAGAACCCTTCCACGGTGTGGGCAACCGGGAAGTGATAACCGCCCTCATACCTCTAACAGCACTCAAGACCACTGTATTCATAATCAACCTTCCTCTTCAATTCCTATTATTCCTCCTACATCGACTTTCAACCCTAAACTTCCTCCTTTGGCTTCCTCCTCAAGTGTCACCATAGCCAACGATTCTAGTGCTCAAAACTCTGTCCCAGGTCTACTGAAACCTCGCTCCAAACTACACATTGGAGCCTTCAACGTACGCACCCTATGTCAAATCGGTCAGCAGGCTTCCTTGGCTAAAACCCTAGAGTCTCTTTCCATTGATGTATGCTGTGTCTCCGAAACACGCATACAGGATTCCAGTGTGGTCATTCACTTGACCTCACCTCGGCAGAACGGAGAGCCAACGAGATACACCCTTCGTGTATCTGGTGACCCGATGGCAAGTTCTCGTGGACTGGCAGGTGTAGGCATAGCACTAAGCATGAGGGCCGAACAAGCACTGCTAGAGTGGATCCCCGTCAACAGTCGTCTATGTGCTGTTCGGCTGAACGGCTACGTAAGAACTCGGAAGGATAGGGACACACGTCGTTGCCTTTTTGTCGTTTCTGCCTACGCTCCCACTGACTGCAGCTCAGATGAAGTGAAAGATGAATTTTACAGAAAGCTTTCCGAACTTCTTCAGAAAGCTAAACGCTCAGACATAGTACTCGTAGCAGGTGATTTTAATGCTCAGATAGGTAGTTTAAACCAAACAGAAAGGCATTTAGGTGGATATTTTAGTATTCCGACACAGCGAACAGATAATGGTGATCGTCTGCTGCAGCTATGCTCAGACAATCGTTTATTTTTAGCAAACACAAATTTTAAGCATAAGGAGAGACATCGTCTAACATGGCGACCCCCTACACCAAACCAACGATGGACTCAAATAGACCATATTGCCATCAGTCATCGTTGGAGAGGGTCGGTAGAAGATTGTCGCTCATTCTGGAGTACCTGCTTGGACTCCGACCATGCCCTAATACGGGCACGCATCTGCTTGCGCCTCACTGGACGCAAAAAAGCCACATTAAAAAGACCCGTTAGAACTGAGTTGAGTAACGAGAAAACCAAAAGTAGGTTCCAGGAACAACTGAGGTCACACTTAGGTAGTTGTGAAGACGAGGCTGACCCAGATGTTGCTTGGAAGGGCATACAATCAGCTGTGGAAACAGCAGTGACATCTATTAGTGACTTAAACCACAGAGTTACAAGGAACCAGTGGATTTCTTCAAGGTCTGTCACACTGATGGATTCTCGCAAACTCGTCCCATCAGGTTCCGAACATGATGAAGAGCGACAACAAATCAGATCTAGGTTAAGAAAAAGTCTAAGGAACGACCGTGAGCAGTGGTGGGTAACGAAAGCAAAAGAGATGGAAAAGGCGGCGACTATAGGGAACACAAGACAGCTTTACAGACTAATAAAAGAAACTGGAATTAATAAGTCAAGTGTAAGTGAGATTATTTCGGAAAAAGATAATACTCTCATCTGCTCCCAGTCCAGACGTTTAGAACGATGGGCGGAACATTTTAGAGAACAGTTCAGCTGGCCTTCAGCTACTCTACAACTACCCTCCATTCCCAGACAATGTGAATGGAACATTGAAGTAGGTCCCCCAACTCTTGCTGAAGTTGAGAAGGCTATAGTTAATCTGAAACGAGGAAGGGCAGCTGGTCCAGATGGATTGGCTCCAGAGGTCTTTAAGGATGGTGGTCCAATTTTAGCGATTAGGTTGACTAATATTTTAGCTAAGATCTGGGAATTAGACGTTATCCCATCTGACTGGTCGCAATCACTTATCGTCCCAATATATAAGAAAGGGTCAAAATCATCCTGTGACAACCACAGAGGGATTAGTTTAACAAACATAGTATCTAAAATACTGGCCTCGATAATTATCAAACGCCTAACTAAGACTCGTGAACTACAAACACGAGAGAACCAAGCTGGCTTTAGACCTGGTCGTGGCTGCATCGACCACATATTCACCATTCGTCAGGTTCTAGAACACAGGCATACCTATCGGCGTCCGACGATGGTGGTCTTTCTTGACTTAAAAGCAGCATTTGACTCTGTAGACCGCGAGACTCTGTGGCAGTGTCTGTCATTGAAAGGCGTACCTCAGAAGTACATAAACCTTGTGAAGGCTCTTTACTCGAACACTACTAGTCGAGTCAGGGCTTATGGCGAACTGTCATCTACTTTTGCAACCTCAAGTGGTGTCCGTCAAGGCTGCCCACTTTCTCCATTTTTGTTTAACTTCATCATAGACCTATTGATGGAAATAACACTCTCGTCGACTGAATTCTCGGGTATTGATCTCCTTCCAGGAGGTCCACTTATCGACTTAGAATACGCAGATGACATAGTCCTGTTTGGTGAAGACGCTGACAAAATGCAGAGTCTTCTGGTAGCACTAAGCAACAATGCCAGAATGTTTGGGATGCGCTTCTCTCCCTCTAAATGCAAGTTGTTGCTTCAGGACTGGTCTGCGTCAACACCTGAACTAAGGATAGGGAGTGAAGTAGTCGAACGCGTTGACAACTTCACTTATCTTGGAAGTCTGATCAGCCCTAATGGGTTGGTGTCTGACGAAATCTCAGCACGGATTCGTAAAGCTCGTTTGGCTTTTGCCAACTTACGTCACCTTTGGCGGAGGCGAGATATCCGTCTATCAATAAAAGGACGAGTATACTGCGCGGCAGTCCGTTCTGTTTTAATTTACGGCAGCGAAACATGGCCTTTAAGAGTAGAAGACACCCGTAAGCTACTAGTATTTGACCACAGATGCCTTAGAAATATTGCTGGCATCTGCTGGGATCACCGGGTAAGTAATAGTGAGGTTAGACGCAGGGTATTAGGGAATGATGGTAAATCAGTTGATGAGGTTATGAATCTTCATCGACTGAGATGGTTGGGCCACGTATTACGTATGCCTGAACACCGATTACCACGACGTGCAATGCTAACCGGTGTAGGGGATGGTTGGAAAAAAGTTAGGGGCGGCCAAACCAAAACGTGGCATCAGTGCTTGAAGTCACTAACTTCTAGTCTGAGCCATGTTGGTAGATGCAGACTACTTGGTTGGGGTCCGCGTGACTTTCGTAACCAATGGTTGGAGACTCTTGGTGACATGGCTCAGAATCGATCACAATGGCGTCGGTGTATACACTCCCTGTCTTCCCTTAAACTAAGAGATTAAAATCACTTCATACCTTTCTTTCTACGAACTAATTCTTCCTTCCTATACTATATCCTTATTGCAACCTTTGACCTAACCACTCCTATGAATCCGGTGTTCATCTTGTTGTGCTAATGAGGTATGGCAACCTGGACCGATGCACATATGTGCCTGGTCCTACGTTGTAGCTGACTGACTGACTGACTGACTGATTAAGTCTTAATCGTTTGTCAGTTTTATATAGAAAATTGATTGGACTTAGATGACACTTCATTTTCTTTGTTGTATCGGTTTATGCGATTTGTAAGATTCCGTTTTATGGTAATCATATGAAACTGATAAAAATTTCATTCTATTGAGTAGAATTTTCATAAATTTTCTATGCATTAACTTTTATCTCATGCACTTTTTCAAGTTCGTTAAAAGGCATCATATCCGATGTGGAATCTGGAATGTATGATAATCAGTTGACGAACTTAATTAATGTAATGAATCCGATCTCAGATTTTAAAATGCAATCAGGAATCATTGACGGTGAATTTGTCCAAACAGCCACACCTCCAAATAATGATTTTTTTCATCAACAGACTTTTGCCGAAAATGATGCAATCAGTGGCCCACTTACTGAACAACCTAATAAATGTTCCAACAAATTAATTACAGAAAATAATCCTGCTAATAATAAACAAAATCTTATTGAACTTTGGAAAGAGATCCAGGAATTTTATCATATTCCTGATTCAACATGGTATTGTGCTCCTGGTCCAATAAATAATCGAAATTTTACAGGAGGATATGGGAGTGTCACGAACAGATCTCGTCCGTCTGGTGTAGGCTCGCTTAATTTTTCCCGTTTATCAACTTTATTGGCAGAGGCATCCTCTCCAGCTCTAAAGCCTGCTACACAGTTCAGAAATTCGACGAATAAAGCTTCAAGTTGTAAATCTAGTTCACATGAAATCGGCCACACAACAGCTGTATCTCGTGCCGCTGAAGCAGCTAAACAAAGATATTTATCGAAGACAAGCAAACACAAATTATCATCTGTTAAGAGTCAACCCGCTCGAATTAATAAATCCAGTAAGCAAGACAATATATCGAAACAATGGCCTAAAAAAATTTCACGCAATAATAAATATGATTATGTTACTACAGCCTCTTCCACTTCTAAAGAAGATCATGTAAATCAAGGTAAGCTTGTTGCTTATGTGTTTAATTGATGCAATCACAAGAAATTTATTATAATTGTTTATTAATCATTTAAGCTCATATTAAAACAATATTTAATGTTTATGCTTGCAATAACCTCTAGCTATTTTAGCTTTAGTTTTCATACCTAGATATTCCGTAGTCAAATTTCAAAAAATTCTTATATTCTTTAAATATGGTATGAGGTTATCCATAGTCTTCTTAATACTCAAAATATGTGTGGTATCCAGGATTATTAGATACTTTTCTGTTCAATTGGTAGGTGAGTGCTGCATATATGAGTGTAATTTTCACGAGAAATTTGATTTTGAACATATGATATTAACCGTATTTGTTTGCTAAGAACATGAACATGTCAGTGTGGCACATCCTAATGCACCAGTAAAAAAAGTAACAAATCTAGTGGAAATTAGGTGTTGGAATGAAATCTCTAAGAAAAATACATTTCGAAATGTACCATTCACTAAACGAACAGAAAAATGGTCTAAAATGCCGGATGCTACACACTTATTGACCATTAAAAAGCGAATAGACAATGTTATATTTATTGTATTTCATAGTCCTCTTGACAAAACTTTGTTTTAGTTTTTCATGACCTTCAGACAAGATGTACTACTAAACAATGTCATTAGGTCAGTGAGCCCGATTTCAGCAATGATTAAAGGAAATTAAAATATTGTTGGCTTAAAATCATGTTAATCAGCAATACTGTAAATCACATGGCCAGAAATAATATATATATCAATTAGTTGCTATTGCTTTAAAATACACGTTCAACCAACCCACGTATACTGATGTCTTCTTACTACATTATCAAAATTTATCAAAGGGACTAATTGCTTTAGCTAATAAGTGTTTGTAAATTTGGGAGACAATTTTGTTTATTTGTTTAAATTACAACCAAAAAATGCTCTGAATAAACACTGGGATGACAATTTCGGAAAGAAGTAGTAAGGAAACAGTCATCCAATCAGTAAATAAAGGAACGGGAATTGTGTTTGATAAAAGTAGGTAGCTTAGTTAGAAATGCAATCATGATATAGTTTTGCCACATTTAACTGTCTTACTTTTAAGAAGCATTGCATATAAAATCATCAGTGTCAACACTGTCTTCCATTCTTATCCATGTCTGAAAATATCCTAGATATCACTCGAAAATCACAGCCATTGGATTGTAGACTATCTCACCAGAAAAACCATAGTAGTATCTACAAAAAGTCTGAATCTGAGAAACAAGAACTTTCCGACAGTGAAACGGAACAAGAAGATGAAGATTCTACGTTTGACGAATCGTCAACAGATAAACAAACTGATTCACCTTCATCAACGCCATCAACTGTTGCAATGTGTATGTCTGATGTAGAGGATTTTTTAATTCGGGATGATGAAAAATCAGAGAAAACTATTCCCAACGATGATAATGCAACCAACTCTACTTTAGACAACGATAGACCTGCCACAACAATACCTGATGAAGATGGGATTGATGGTTATAATTCCGAAAGTGAAAAGTTCACTTTATCATCAGATGCCGTTTCTTCTTTGTCTACAGAAGCTGTAGGTGAGACAGACTATCAGGTTGAAGAAAAAAATTCTATTTGTTCTAGTCCTCCTACATTTGTAAATACAACTAATGTGCCTGGAATTGTAACCGAGGTAGAACTGAAACTTTATAATTTGAATCAGAAGTCACCTGTAGGCAAAGTTTTTGCTATTTCAAACGAGAGTTTACTTTCTGATAGTAATTTAGACGAAACCAATGGTGATTCTGTAAACGAAACAGATGTACGAACTATTACTGACCTTCATTGTTCCGCTGCGTCGCCTGTTAATATTCAGATGCCAGTGGAGAATATAACCATCTTGGAGTCGAAAGATTTTATGAATGTAGACAGTAAAGTGGCTCATGAAGTTGTTAACATTCCTCATGTTACAGAATCTCCCAACGTTGAACCATCCACATCTAACCTCGAGAATGGCCTAAATAAAAAACTTGGTCTTTCTTCAAATTTTACATCAAAACGAAAAGAATCTAGCAAGTCAACTTCGAAAAAGGCTCCTGCTTACTCAATTTTACCTTTTCTTATCAAAACAGAAAGTAATAAGAGTTCCCAGATTATTACTTCAGATGAAAAATGTGATATGAAGGTTAAAACTAATGAGAAATTGGATCTGAATGCGCGTGAAAATATGATCAGCGAGTGGTAAGTTTAGGGTCTGTGTACTTTAATATTTTCTAAAATTTTAAATCTGATTTCGAATAATTAATTGTTTTCAATCACTCATGTTTACTTTTTTCCTCTCTAATAGTTCAAGTTGATATATAAATTGAATGAAGTTATTTACTTTCCTAGTCTTAGTATATATCTTGTCTATTACTTTACCGTCTGTGCATTTTCTTCTTCTACTTAACGTACTTGATTAATTTCCTTTTCGCATCTCTACAACTTAGGTGTATTCTTATGATGTTCCTTGCTCACCAAATAAATCATTTCTATACATGTACTTAAATGACAACGCCTGTAGCTCTTCCAGAGTTATTACCTGTCCCAAGCACGGGTAAAGGCAGACCGTTGGGCATGGGGTCGGCAACCATATCCTGCAGAAAACAATCTTGCTAAAAACACACCAACTCTACCTCATCAAGATACCAAAGAAAGATCTGAGCAAATGTGAGAACTATAGAGGAATCACACTACTGTCAGTACCAGGAAACGTTTTCAACAGTGCGTTGCTGAACCACATGAAAGATTTTGTAGACGTCTAGCTTCGAGATCAATAAGCTGGATTCCGTGAGGATCGGTCATGCATAGACCAAAACATGACACTACGGATCATCATTGAAAAATCAGTTGGGTGGAACTTACCACTATACATCAACTTCATTGATTATGAGAAAGCATTTGACAGCGCTTGCAGAACATTATGGGAACGTTTTCGACACTATGATGATGTACCTGAGAAGATCGTCAACATACGATGGACTACATTGCAGAGTCGTGCATGGAGGACAGCTGTCAAAAGCAGTTCAAGTAAGGACTGGAATTATGCAAGGCTGCTTACTCTCACCTTTCCTCTTTCTTTTCGTAGTCGACTGGTTTATGAAAACCTTGACATCGGAGAGGTAACATGGAATACAATGGACAACTTGCATGCAACTAGACTGTTTGGACCTCGCAAATGACATAGCTTTCCTATCTCATACACACCAACAAATGCAGATGAAGACAACCAGTGTAGCAGAAGCCTCCGCATCGGTAGGCCTCAACATATACATGGAAAAAAGCAAGATCCTCAAATGCAACACAGAGAACAGCATCCCAATCACACTTCAAAGGTACCATTTTATGTTTGGATACCAACTGTTGTACTAACACTAAACGTTAGTAGCTTGACTTCATAAATCCATGTGTCACAAGGAATCAGTCGTCATAAACATAGGATCTGGGACATATGTGGATCAGTTCAAGTCGCTGCACAAAATCATCACAGTGAGGTGAAGTCAACAAGATGGATAATTAAGGTGTCGGGATAAATGTAGTAACATTGATTATAAAAAAAAACACTATATATTGTTTAGAAAGAGGGAATGAAACAAAGTGTTTGAAATAGTATCGAAATTTAAAATTTAGAGGAATATAAGAAATTAATGCATTTGCAATCGATTTTAAACCACATCGTCCAGAGCTTGTAGTGAAAGCCGTTTATGTATGTACTTATCGTTGGGAATATATTTATTCTATGTTAAATTAATGATCTTTCTTGTTTTGCTTTAAAGCAATACGGATCAGTTAAACGCTCCTGTTGTGGGTTCAAGCACTCCTATTCATTCAAATAATGAATCTGTTCAGTTAAACAACTCATCTCTTTCATCGGGTTCTAAAAACCACAGTCTTCGACTTCGACTTAGTCGACAAGGGAGTCAACTCATTGTTCTACCTCTGTCTGACTCAATTGATAGCTCATTTCAAGGTTTAAATACATCGCAAAAGGAAGCAGCTTTCGATACCGAATGTCATGATACTAATTGGTATTCTTGGGCTAATCAATTGTTATCTAATGGTGAGCGGATTATAAGCGCATGGATGTCAAACGATGAATCTATGGTACTTTCTCCTCGCTTCAAGTATGTTTTTGGGTTACATTTATATCATTTTCCTTGTCACAACTTCTTGTACTAGATACCCAAAATTATTTACTTTTAGTACATTGTTAGTTTAACGTTGGTTTAATAATCGACTTATAATCGGTGATCAATTGGCTACTGTCTAATTCCATTTATTTTGATCAGATTAGCTGAGGATGGTTATTACTTTACTTTCATTAATTTTTTACAAACACTACTGTTGTTTTAGCAGCCTAGTACCGTAGCCTTATACTACAAATTTTTTTAATGGGTCAAACTGATGATTTAATAATAACATAGAAAATAGCAATTTTATCATCCTTATTTTGTACAATTATATTTTGTGCATCTATTAGACTTCTCAAGGTAAGTTTGTGAGAATTATTATGCAATATCTTGTTGTCATTTATTCTCTGAACTGATAAGCGTCAAAGTGACGTACAGACTTATTGTATGGCTATTTTTTATCATCATAAATGATTTTGTGGTGAATAAAAAAATAAGGGCGCACATTCTCTTGTTTTTCTTTTTAAGAACTCCAATAACATGTATGTGTTTAGTGGCTAGCAGGATGTTTATACTATTCTTGTTTTGAAAAGAGCAAGAACAAAGATTCTAACAGAATGGCATGAATTCATTTTATTTTGTTGGTTCTAGTCAGCTGCTTACAACCTATGATATTCAAAATAATAATTACATAATGGGTTCTTCATTTAACAGCTTGACTGATTACTGTTATTACAACAATTACCAACGATATATGACACTCAGTGGTTGAAACAAAGTTGTTTATTTCAAACGTACAAATTAAGCGGTACAACAAACAGCGAAGCGAAAGAATGAACTTATGAATATAATATATCGAGCAAATACGTACATATATGTGTGAATGAGTTGTCATCAGTTCAGTGTGTATATAAACAGTTTATATAGGCGAAATAAATATGAATGCAGGTAAATACATATAATCATACATACTCATTTTAACGCGAAAAGATATGTAGTTTAATTATGTGAAGATACGTGTGAATTATCAAGAGGTAAGATAACACATTTTACCTCTCACATGAATTATTCCAAAGGTTTAACTAGTTTGAAGATTACACGGTTGTTCCCATTTGGGACTTCTGAATATCCTTGTCATTACTGTTTGCCTCAAACTTAGAAATCCTTATTTCAAACATCAGAACACTACCAACATAACTACTGAGCTGTGAGACGTAATATCCGTACAACGCTTTTTAGTAAATGAGGTGGTCAACATTCATCGGAACGTGGATTAATCCAGCTAGCTTTGCCCCCTCTCTGGTGAAATTTATATCTTGTTTTTATATAAACAATGATGGATAGTGGCTAGCAGTGGAATCCAGGACGCGCGTTTCGTCCCATTTGGGACTCGAACCCAGTAACATTCACTTCAAACGCCATCGCGTTATCCGCTCAGCTACTGAGTCCTGATAACCACTTGCTTGTGCGATGGGGTGAATTTAAATTCTCTTGGTATTGCTTACAAAAAGCTTGTGAATTAATGTAATATCGAGGCATACGCACAGTATGCACATATGCTAATAACAGACTGATCAATTGCAGTCTTGAACCTCAATGGGAAGATACAGGTCAAACAATACCAAGTGAACTTGTTTTTATATGTTTAAATACTACTTTGTTACTGACTATTTGAATCACTCTCAATTTTCAATAGCTGTAATAATAAAGACTTATATCTCACCCTTTTTAAAGATATTTTGCAGCTTGTAGTTTATGAACTGTTCCCATCCTGTTTCTTTTAAAATATAGAAATAATACTTCACCCTCCGATTTGAAGGAACTGGTTCATGAATTATTGGATCCTATCATTAATGACTTAAATAATGAGTTAATTAAATCCAAGTTACAGTTTATTCATAGATTGTTAAGTATACTTGCTCATACCGTCATGACTCGGGCAAGTAATACTATTCGAAATTTCATAGCTATGGAGCTATACAATCAATGGTCTGAACAGCTGCAAACAAATGTATCAGAACCTGATTTCTCCTCAACCCCCTATTGTTTTAATTCGAAAACACCTGTGAGTATTTTAAAGTTATTTTACTATATCACATCGTGTTGTTTTCTAGTTTTAAATCTTATTCCGATATCATAGGAAAATTTGCAAATAATCCAGAGTTCGTTGCTCTTATTTTCTGTATACAACATAACTAATTGGATATATGCTAAATCTTATAAATATAAATATTTCTGCCTCATTACTTCATTTATACGTTTTGTCCTTAAATTTAATATTCATTTGCGACTGAAATGTAAACAAAGTGGTCTTGATGAACCTTCAATATACCAACATTTTGTCTTTGTTACAAGACGTTCGAAGTCAGTATTTTTGTTCAAAAACTATATTCGACCGATCGTCGGCTAAGTACAGAACTTTGCTCATATATGCGTCGGCTCGAGATGCCATCTTCGCCTATAACTCAGCGATTAACTTCAGCATTGCTCGTTTGCTGATCTCACCATACGCAAGTATTACCACTGCCTAACTCAACGGGTTATATTATCTGGTGTAAGAGTAGGATGGAAGATAGCTGGGGGCTACCAAATCAAAATGTGTTACCAGTCTATTAAATAATTGAGAATCGGACAGCCATACTAGTGGGCTTGGACTACCTGGTATGGAGTCCTCGTGACTATCGTAGCCAATGGTTAGAGACTCTGGGTCATATGGCTCAGAATAGTCGAAATGAAACAGATGTATTCATTCTTTGTCTTCCTCTAAAAATCGAGTCCCAAAACCTCCTTATACCTTTTTTTCTCTTTCTGTTATTAGTCTTCTACTACTTCTGATACTTCTCCTACTGCTCTAGGATATTTGAAATAATTTCATTTTACTGTGTAGACATGATATGACAACGTGAACTGATGCATGTATATCAGGTTCCACATTGTGTGTGACTGGCTGAAACCTATGATTAAAGTGTAGTGACCTACGTATGCATTCTAGTTTTATAAGGGTATCTAACAGAATAACTTATATTTACATACGATAAAACGAAAGATAACTTAACGACTGAGATTTAAAGTTACATATTCATACTCCGCACTTTTATTTAATTCTTTGACTTCTCAAATACAATCTGGATATTCCATGTTGTTTTTTCTTTTTAAGGAAACATTTTACAGTGATCAATTGTTTTCAACAATATCATCATCAGGCTCAGGATATACAGTTATAAGGCTTTAATTATTGTATTACAATTGCCAAAATAAGTCATAAGCAAGTGAATCTATTACAAATTGATTAGGCTAAACAGTTTCATTTATGAATTAGAAAAAGTCATTCAAAAGGTGAGAACATTCGTCGTAAGGTTTCGAGTTACGGTGTGGGCAACCGGGAAGTGATAACCGCCCTCATACCTCTAACAGCACCCAAGACCACTGTATTCATAATCAACCTTCCTCTTCAATTCCTATTATTCCTCCTACATCGACTTTCAACCCTAAACTTCCTTCTTTGGCTTCCTCCTCAAGTGTCACCATAGCCAACGATTCTAGTGCTCAAAACTCTGTCCCAGGTCTACTGAAACCTCGCTCCAAACTACACATTGGAGCCTTCAACGTACGCACCCTATGTCAAATCGGTCAGCAGGCTTCCTTGGCTAAAACCCTAGAGTCTCTTTCCATTGATGTATGCTGTGTCTCCGAAACACGCATACAGGATTCCAGTGTGGTCATTCACTTGACCTCACCTCGGCAGAACGGAGAGCCAACGAGATACACCCTTCGTGTATCTGGTGACCCGATGGCCAGTTCTCGTGGACTGGCAGGTGTAGGCATAGCACTAAGCATGAGGGCCGAACAAGCACTGCTAGAGTGGATCCCCGTCAACAGTCGTCTATGTGCTGTTCGGCTGAACGGCTACGTAAGAACTCGGAAGGATAGGGACACACGTCGTTGCCTTTTTGTCGTTTCTGCCTACGCTCCCACTGACTGCAGCTCAGATGAAGTGAAAGATGAATTTTACAGAAAGCTTCCGAACTTCTTCAGAAAGCTAAACGCTCAGACATAGTACTCGTAGCAGGTGATTTTAATGCTCAGATAGGTAGTTTAAACCAAACAGAAAGGCATTTAGGTGGATATTTTAGTATTCCGACACAGCGAACAGATAATGGTGATCGTCTGCTGCAGCTATGCTCAGACAATCGTTTATTTTTAGCAAACACAAATTTTAAGCATAAGGAGAGACATCGTCTAACATGGCGACCCCCTACACCAAACCAACGATGGACTCAAATAGACCATATTGCCATCAGTCATCGTTGGAGAGGGTCGGTAGAAGATTGTCGCTCATTCTGGAGTACCTGCTTGGACTCCGACCATGCCCTAATACGGGCACGCATCTGCTTGCGCCTCACTGGACGCAAAAAAGCCACATTAAAAAGACCCGTTAGAACTGAGTTGAGTAACGAGAAAACCAAAAGTAGGTTCCAGGAACAACTGAGGTCACACTTAGGTAGTTGTGAAGACGAGGCTGACCCAGATGTTGCTTGGAAGGGCATACAATCAGCTGTGGAAACAGCAGTGACATCTATTAGTGACTTAAACCACAGAGTTACAAGGAACCAGTGGATTTCTTCAAGGTCTGTCACACTGATGGATTCTCGCAAACTCGTCCCATCAGGTTCTGAACATGATGAAGAGCGACAACAAATCAGATCTAGGTTAAGAAAAAGTCTAAGGAACGACCGTGAGCAGTGGTGGGTAACGAAAGCAAAAGAGATGGAAAAGGCGGCGACTATAGGGAACACAAGACAGCTTTACAGACTAATAAAAGAAACTGGAATTAATAAGTCAAGTGTAAGTGAGATTATTTCGGAAAAAGATAATACTCTCATCTGCTCCCAGTCCAGACGTTTAGAACGATGGGCGGAACATTTTAGAGAACAGTTCAGCTGGCCTTCAGCTACTCTACAACTACCCTCCATTCCCAGACAATGTGAATGGAACATTGAAGTAGGTCCCCCAACTCTTGCTGAAGTTCGAAAGGCTATAGTTAATCTGAAACGAGGAAGGGCAGCTGGTCCAGATGGATTGGCTCCAGAGGTCTTTAAGGATGGTGGTCCAATTTTAGCGATTAGGTTGACTAATATTTTAGCTAAGATCTGGGAATTAGACGTTATCCCATCTGACTGGTCGCAATCACTTATCGTCCCAATATATAAGAAAGGGTCAAAATCATCCTGTGACAACCACAGAGGGATTAGTTTAACAAACATAGTATCTAAAATACTGGCCTCGATAATTATCAAACGCCTAACTAAGACTCGTGAACTACAAACACGAGAGAACCAAGCTGGCTTTAGACCTGGTCGTGGCTGCATCGACCACATATTCACCATTCGTCAGGTTCTAGAACACAGGCATACCTATCGGCGTCCGACGATGGTGGTCTTTCTTGACTTAAAAGCAGCATTTGACTCTGTAGACCGCGAGACTCTGTGGCAGTGTCTGTCATTGAAAGGCGTACCTCAGAAGTACATAAACCTTGTGAAGGCTCTTTACTCGAACACTACTAGTCGAGTCAGGGCTTATGGCGAACTGTCATCTACCTTTGCAACCTCAAGTGGTGTCCGTCAAGGCTGCCCACTTTCTCCATTTTTGTTTAACTTCATCATAGACCTATTGATGGAAATAACACTCTCGTCGACTGAATTCTCGGGTATTGATCTCCTTCCAGGAGGTCCACTTATCGACTTAGAATACGCAGATGACATAGTCCTGTTTGGTGAAGACGCTGACAAAATGCAGAGTCTTCTGGTAGCACTAAGCAACAATGCCAGAATGTTTGGGATGCGCTTCTCTCCCTCTAAATGCAAGTTGTTGCTTCAGGACTGGTCTGCGTCAACACCTGAACTAAGGATAGGGAGTGAAGTAGTCGAACGCGTTGACAACTTCACTTATCTTGGAAGTCTGATCAGCCCTAATGGGTTGGTGTCTGACGAAATCTCAGCACGGATTCGTAAAGCTCGTTTGGCTTTTGCCAACTTACGTCACCTTTGGCGGAGGCGAGATATCCGTCTATCAATAAAAGGACGAGTATACTGCGCGGCAGTCCGTTCTGTTTTAATTTACGGCAGCGAAACATGGCCTTTAAGAGTAGAAGACACCCGTAAGCTACTAGTATTTGACCACAGATGCCTTAGAAATATTGCTGGCATCTGCTGGGATCACCGGGTAAGTAATAGTGAGGTTAGACGCAGGGTATTAGGGAATGATGGTAAATCAGTTGATGAGGTTATGAATCTTCATCGACTGAGATGGTTGGGCCACGTATTACGTATGCCTGAACACCGATTACCACGACGTGCAATGCTAACCGGTGTAGGGGATGGTTGGAAAAAAGTTAGGGGCGGCCAAACCAAAACGTGGCATCAGTGCTTGAAGTCACTAACTTCTAGTCTGAGCCATGTTGGTAGATGCAGACTACTTGGTTGGGGTCCGCGTGACTTTCGTAACCAATGGTTGGAGACTCTTGGTGACATGGCTCAGAATCGATCACAATGGCGTCGGTGTATACACTCCCTGTCTTCCCTTAAACTAAGAGATTAAAATCACTTCATACCTTTCTTTCTACGAACTAATTCTTCCTTCCTATACTATATCCTTATTGCAACCTTTGACCTAACCACTCCTATGAATCCGGTGTTCATCTTGTTGTGCTAATGAGGTATGGCAACCTGGACCGATGCACATATGTGCCTGGTCCTACGTTGTAGCTGACTGACTGACTGGTATAATAAAATAAATCATATGATTCAATGATCCTCCTCATTTAGAATGACACACTTTTTCTAAACGTAATTAAACTGTAACAAGTGCAAAATTTCATTATTTTGACACAAAACATTAATTCAATTGTTCATGCCTTATTTTGGCGATAATAATACAATAATTACTGATTTAAAACTATTGAGCTTCAGCCTGATGATGACGTTGTTGTAAACAACTGTTCACTTAATTATATTTTCTTTCTCTATGTACTTTGGGCGGTCTTTAGATAACTGAAGTATTTTAGAAATAAATTTTCACGATTTATTGACGTCCTTTGCTGATAATATTTAGATGCACTTCAGTAAGTATATTTGATTCCATTCATATCGTACTATTTTGTAACTAGACATTAAATTCATCAAGAACAATGCTTTTTTTAAATTATTCATTTGTATAATGCAATGACAGAAGGTTATCAAAATTACGTGATTTATTTCCACAATACATTTCAAAAAATCTGATCACATATATACTTGTTAAGAACACTTACATCTGTAAAAATGAAAAGATAACTAGAAAAGTTAAAAGATAAGGGAAAACAACAGTAACAATAGAGTAAACAATGTGAAAACCACTCCAGATAATAGATCAGCATTACTGGGGTGGACTAATTAATAAAATTATTTAAATACATAAACAATGGTACAAGGAGACACGAAATAAATATGTGCCACATAAGTCATTCAATACTTCCCGGACCCAAACCGCATCAGATGGTTTTCTTAGGGAGCCACACTGCAAGCCTTTGACATAAAGGTCTAATCCATAAGGCAGTGGAAAACATTGGGAGATGCAGTTCCATGGTAGCCGGTGACCAACGATAGATCCATACGCCATTTGTTCCTTCACGATACTGGAGCCCATGTACACCATTGGTTTGTATTCAGGGTTTTTCAACTCCCTTAGGTAGATCCCCCGTATCCACCAATACAAGTCAAAAGTATATTTGTTTTACATGTGAAGAAGCGATGGATAATCGGCTTCCTTTTCTGGACATACTAACTAGTGAAAGAGACAATGGTTCCATCAAACGTTCTGTATCAGTGGTTTAAACCACAGGGTTACAAAGAACCAGTGGACTTCTTCAAGGTCTATTGCACTGATGGATTCTCGTAAACTCATCCCATCAGGTTCTGAACACGATGAAGAGAGACAACAAATCAGATCTAGGTTAAGCAAAAGTCTGAGGAACGACCGTGAGCAGTGGTGTGCAACCAAAACAAACGAGATGGAAAAGGCAGAGGCTATAGGGAACACAAGACAGCTCTTCAAACTCATAAAAGAAACGAATTAATAAGTGAAGTGTGAGACTATTTCGGAAAAAGACGACACCCTCATCTGCTCTCAGTCTAGACGTTTAGAACGATGGGCGGAACATTTTAGGGAACAGTTCAGCTGGTCTTCAGCTACTTTACAACTACCCACCATTACCAGACAGTGTGAATGGAACATTGAAGTAGGTCCCCCAACTCTAGCAGAAGTTCAAAAGGCTATAGTTAGTCTGAAGCGAGGAAGGGCAGCTGGTCCAGATGGATTGGCTCCAGAGGTCTTTAAGGATGGTGGTCCAATTTTAGCGATTAGGTCGACTAATAATTTAGCTAAGATCTGGGAGTTAGACGTTATCCCATCTGACTGGTCACAATCACTGATCTTCCCAATATATAAGAGAGGGTAAAATCATCCTGTGACAACCATAGAGGAATTAGTTTAACTAATATAATATCTAAAATACTAGCCTCGATAATTATCAAACGCCTAACTAAGACTCGTAAACTGCAAACACGAGAAAATCAAGCTGGCTTCAGACCTGGTCGTGGCTGCATCGACCACATATTCACCATTCCTCAGGTTCTAAAACATAGGCATACTTATCGGCGTCCGACAATTGTGGTCTTTCTTGACTTGAAAGCAGCATATGACTCTGTAGACCGCGAGATTCTGTGGCAGTGTCTGCCATTGAAAGGCGTACCCCAGAAGTACATAAACCTTGTGAAGGCTCTTTACTCGAACACTAATAGTCGAGTCAGAGCTTATGGCGAACTGTCATCTATTTTTGCAACCTCAAGTGGTGTCCGTCAAGGCTGTCCACTTTCTCCATTTTTGTTTAACTTCATCATAGATCTACTGATGGAAATAACTTTCTCGTCGACTGAGTTCTCGGGTATTGATCTCCATCCAGGAGGTCCACTTATCGACTTAGAATACACAGATGACATAGTCCTGTTTGGTGAAGGCGCTGACAAAATGCAGAGTCTTTTGGTAGCACTAAGCAACAATGCCAGAATGTTTGGAATGCGCTTCTCTCCCTCTAAATTGAAGTTGTTTCTTCAGGACTGGTCTGCGTCGACACCTGAACTAAGGATAGGGAGTGAAGTAATCGAACGCGTTAACAACTTCACTGATCTTGGAAGTCTGATCAGCCCTAATGGGCTGGTGTCTGATGAAATCTCAGCACGGATTCGGAAAACTCGTTTGGCTTTCGCCAACCTACATCATCTATGGCGAAGTCGAGATATCCGTCTATCAATCAAATGACGAGTATACTGCGCGGCAGTTCGTTCTGTTTTACTTTATGATTGCTAAACATGGCCAGTAAGGGTAGGAGATGCTCGTAAGCTACTAGTATTTGACCACAGATGTCTTAGAAATATTGCCAGCACTTGATGGGATCACTGGGTAAGTAACAGTGAGGTTAGACGCAGGGTATTAGGAAATGATAGTAAATCAGTTGATAAGGTTGTAAATCTTCATCGACTGAGATGGTTGGGCCACGTGTTACGTATGCCTGAACACTGATTACCACGACGCACAATGCTAACTAGTGTTGGGGATTTTTGGATGAATGTTAGTGGTGGCCAGATTTGGATCAGTCATTCAAAGTCTCCAACCATTGGCTACGTTGATCACGCAGACCCCAACCATGTAGTTTAAACACGACTCAGTCCAATCGTCAATGATTTTATGGACAGATGCCATGTTTTGGCATGGTCGCTCCTAACACTCTTTCAGCCTACTACTACTAATACACCACACAACATCGCCCATCAAGGTTGGTGGTGGTTAGGCATTCTTAACACATGTAACAACCACCTGAGCTGTTGTTATAGATCTACCACCTCAGTCAATTTGCCATCCTACTCCGTGGTTCAAACATACTCGAGGAATGCTTCAAACACCTGTGATCGAATACCAGTAACCTACGAACATCCTCTGTTCTTAATGTCTATATTTCACATTCATAATGTAGAACGGAGCAAACTGCTGCACAATAAACCTACCCTTTGGTTGGAAGACGGATATCTCTCTCACGCCACAAAAGGCTCAAGCTGACGAAAGCCAATTGAGCCTTCCAACTCTTTCCAAGACTCCGTCAAACACCAGACCATCAAGACTGATGAGATCTCCAAGATAAATAAAGTAGTTTATATGTTTAACTGCTTCATTCCCTACCACTAATTCAGGCGTTGACACGGGCCAGACCTGAAGTAAAATCGTGGATTTGGAGGAAGAAAACCGCATCCCGAAAATGCTTGCATTGTTAATTAAGATTCCTGTACTGTACCCTTATATATCATATAATACTACTTCTATGAATCCGGTGTTCATCTTACTGTGCTAATGCGGTATGGCAACTTGAACCGATGCATATATGTGCCTGTTCCTACGTTGTAGCTGAATAAAATGTTTTATTAGTTTTTGTTATTGTGTTCTATGGACTAGTAAGTTTACTAACTTCATGAAATTGATCCCCCCGATGTTGCTGTCTAAAATGACACTTTTAGCTAGCCAATTATTGAACCATCCAGCTTACGGAGCACAATAATAAAAATATCGTTCATCTGAACGACAAATTTTCTCCATCACGTTTTATCAGATATGTATCTATTTCATTAAAATACAGGTTTCATATATGCTTACTTAACCATTTTTAATGTTTTTAAATTTTAGCCATCTTGGTCAATCGAAACAGAAGATAATTCATTGTATACCTGTAGAGATCCGCCTACACTGACACTTGCATCTTCATCATTCAATTCATTATCGTCTAGAAAATCCAGTGATACTGTGGTAAGTCGATTTCTACATAATTGTTCCAGACTACATACTTACACCTGCTGCCACTCACGGAGGAGCATAAGCTGCCCACCACCACTCTCCATCCAACTCTGTCCCGGGCAATCGTTTCCAGTTCTTTCCACTTCCTATTCATCCTTTTCATGTCTGACTCCAATTCCAGTCGTAGTGTGTTCTTCGGCATTCCACTTTCACGTTTACCTTGAGGATTTCAAGTTAGGGCTTGCCTCGTGATGCAGTTTGGTGATTTCCGTAATGTATGTCCTATCAACTCCAACTGTCCTTTCCTGATTTCCTCTTCAGACGGAACCTGGTTTGTTCTCTCTCACAGTAGGTTGTTGCTGATGGCTTTCGGTCAACGGATATTCAATATCTTACGTAGACAATTGTTCATAAATACTTGTACCGTTTTGATGATGTTTGTAGTAGTTCTCCAAGTTTCAGCTCCGTACAGTAGAACTATCTTGACGTTCGTATTGAAGATTCTCACTTTCATATTGGTTGACAGTTGTTTTGAGTTCCATATGTTATTCAACTGTAGGAATACTGTCCTTGCTTTGCCGATCCTCGCCTTTATGTCTGCATCTGAACCTCTACGTGAACGTTTCCAACTCTTCCAGAGTTTCCCCATCAAGTGTGATTGGGTTAGTGTTCTGCGTGTTGTATTTGAGGATCTTGTTTTTTCCTTTGTGTATGTTAAGGCCTATTGATGCAGAGGCTTCTGCTACACTGGTTTTCTCCATCTGCATTTGTTGGTGTGTATGAGATAGGAAAGCTATGTCATTTGCGAGGTCCAAACCGTCTAGTTGCATGCAAGTTGTTCATTGCATTCCGCGCATCTCCTGAGATATGGAACATTTTTCAATCTCTTCTACGTCTGAATCCAACGCTTTACCTAGTGTGTTATCAGGTCCTGATGCTTTTCTACTATTGATTTGTCTGATGACCGGGCATCCTAATTGCTTCTGTGTATTCAGCTCGTGCTTTGGCTTTCTTTGCTCTTGTTCGGTTGTTGTTGATTGCTGTTTTTTCTTGTTCTTCCTTTCTGAATCCTGCCCAGGGTTTCGATAGAGATCCATTCCCTATGATGATGCTTGTTGCGGTCCAGAACCTCCTGAGACTTTGAAGTTAGTGATTCTTTGATCCTCCTCCAGTTGTCCTCTATAGAAGTTTCTTCTTTGAGTAGATCCTGTCAGGTTTTGGACCTGTTATTCAGAGTTATCTTGAATTTGCTAGTATCTCGTAGAGGGCTGTATTGAACCTTTATACTGCCGCTTCCCCAGCTGTCCAGTGTTTCTTTGGTTTCAGTTTCATCTTGGAAACTACCAGATGGTGATCTGAGGCTATGTCAGCTCCTCTCCCGGATCTCACGTCTTCCATTGACTTTGTGAATTCTTTAGTGATGCAAGCTGATCATCTTGTTTACCATCACTAGTGGACGCATGTCTCTGGATAGCATTTATTGTAATTCCCTCCTGCTTTGTTTCGAAGGATGCTTTGATGATCCTGAGTCTATGAGATTCCCATCCTTTAAGTGTCCTACTTGTTTCTTTGGACAGCATCACTGCAACTCTTTGAGTGTTCGGGGCATTTTTTTTCTTCGTGACCAGAGGACGGTAGCATCTCTCCTTAATCTATCCTTTTCTGTCCATCTAGTGTCTAACAGACTTCACTTATTTCGAGTACTGCCAAGTTGTATCTCCACATTTCCTCAGCTATTTGGTTGGTCCTCCTGGCCTTCCACATTCCATGTACCCATCATGATTGTTGCTCTGGTTGTTAGAAGAGGTATTATCCTTGTGACTTCCGAAAAATCTCGTCTTTCACTATGAGTCGTCACAATTCTCCCTTCAGCTACCAGGGTAGAGTTTAAATCGTTTAATTTGTTTGATCCTGTTGGTGTTTGACAGTATCCTAGAGAGGTGTCCGAGACATTTTTCTGACTCAAATTGACCTCGGGTGCGTATTTTCAGTGAGTTTTATGTGTGGGCGAGGAAAATAAGGATTGGTTGCTTGCTTAGTCTGACTGGCAGATGACCGTTTAGGTACTGAATAAGTTATATATTTTCCTAAATATATTATTAGTTTTGTTGTTGGTTTTTGGATTGGGAATTTACTTACTTTCTAGTCTGGCTAGTCACATGTTATTGATCTGAATTGTATTGAAGTCCTGTAATACAGATACTAGAAGGCTATCTAGTGTAGATATTCGTCTAAGGTAAATTAACGTTCCATCCAAGTAGACAGAGAAACGGAGCGTTATAAGAGTTCAGAAATTATTCTAGCGAATCTGACAACCTGGAAGAGGTTGGAGTATGAAGTGCTTACATAGGTGTGTATATAACTGAACCAGTTTTACATTGTGAGTTATATTTCAATGTTGACCGATCTAAATTCATCTAGACCGGCTGATGAATGATTATAGACATGTTTGACCATACTTAATATAAGATATCTTATGTATAGAACTAGTTTTGCTTTTGTTTCTATTCGATTCTACCTGTTAACTGGTTTTTATTGTGTTAATGAACTGTCGTTCTAGCCTATATCCGGTTCTTGATTGTTAGTCGAATAATTTCATGACTATATGTATTGTGATAAACTTCCAGTTGCTAGGATTATGAACGTGAATATTTTCTCCTTTATGGTGATTTCCTATCGTGACGTAAATCAGAAGCACGATTTTCAAAATTATGCATTATATAAAAGCCTGATGTCATCGTTAACTTTCATGCATGTTCATCAAATACTTTCCCTCGATTTCATGCTTTCTTTCCAAATGTTTGTCGTGATAACGCAGTTAATTGCAGAAAGATCTCCGAACAACCATGTACTTACACAATTCATAATCTCAATGACTCGCGTGATTGTTAGCGCATGATTGTAAAGATCATTAAATTAAGCAGTCATGAAAGCTGTATAGATCTAACAAAGAAATCACACTCAGAACTTGGTCTCGAAATCTCGTTCTAACACCAATGCAACCGACGATCTAACATTGATTTCAGACTTGTTATTTTATATTCAATACTGCCTTGTTTTAGCAATGTTTTGTTCAGTTCTACAGATAAATCGTTAAGACGTACTAAACATCTATCTTTGTTTTCCTTTTATATTATAGAAATCTACTCCGCCAATTCTACTGGAAGTTCGTAGTATGAATACTCCAACAGAAAGTGAAAGACAAAAACGGAGCCATTCGAGTGTTGAAGATAATAATGATGATTTAGATATTTAAATTTAGTTCTGTACATGTTATATCTCTCAATATATTTAATAATACTTTAGCATGATATCTACGTGATTTAATTTTGTTTTGTACAATTTTTCCCATCAATAAATTTGAATGGAGCGTAAAGCTTTATTCGAATTTATATTCTTTTCTCTTATAGATGATGACATTATATGCATTTTTATTTCAATATACAGTAGTACTTTATTTGCATGCGGAAATCAAATGTTATGTAATTTATGTTCTTTGAATTGCACATCTCACATGATCTCTCCTATTAGCCTCACTATATCTGATGCATTTCGGGCAACATGTTCGGTTTGTTGAATGCGATCGAAAGGAACTAAAGTCATTATCTACGCTGTGAAAAATCTCCGCAAGATGCTATTCGGTAGATAGTTTACGTTACTAACAGACTGCAAACCGATACTGACAGTTTTGGTGCCCAAAAGTGTCCCCGTTTATGTGGCAAACCATCTACAACGATGGGTAACCACATTACTGGACGAAGATTTCAAGATAAATTGTCAACCGCCGACTGACTTCGGACAGGCAGATGCCCACTCAAGATTAACTGGTTTCCCGACAAAACAAGAAGGTGTTTGTAGCTGCTGTAGAAACTGTGACCAAAGCTCGCAGTGTTGACAGACTCAAATTCAGGACAGCCAATCACATACGAGACCATTAAAGAAACTAGCGAAAACGACGATAAGTTGAAGAGCGTTCGTATACTCAGCAAGTGGTTTTCACCTCAACTCCATGGAGAGATTGTACAATACTTTTATCGGAGAGACTCCTTGACAATTGTAGTTCCGTGCATCATGTTTGGCCACCGGATCGTTATCCCCAGAATTTCTGGGCATCAGTACCTAAAACATTTACATAGCGGGCACCCAGTAGTAAGTAAAATGAAGTCACTGGCTCGGGGCTACACATAATGACCGTCAATGAACTGTGAAATAGAACAAGTGTCGCAGCAGTTGGTCCTGTCTAGAATCTGCAAAGAATCCAACTGAAGTAGGACCCCAAACAAGACCGAATTTAGACAGGCTTTGACAAAGAATACATGCTGATTTCGCTGGTCCAATACAAGACAGAAACTAATTGGTTGTTTTAGATGTCTTCACGAAGTGGCTGGAAGTGTGCGAACATGACGACGGATATAATAAGAAAATTGTTTTCGGGCGCCGGAGATCTTAGTAAATGACAATTGCTCTCAGTTCATGTGATCCGCCTTTAAACGGTTCTGCTATGAAAATAGCATTACGCATCTACGATCTTCTGCGTACCATCATCAGTCGAATGAACAAGAAAGGTTCGTGGACACAATGGCAAGGGATCAAATTAGAGGAGGAGGTCCAGCATATGTGACCAGTAACTTCTCAATATCTTACAGAGTTACATCCCACCAGGGAATGACCAAGGGAAAGTCCCCAGATGAGTGTATGTTTGGAAGCGAAGGTCGGACAGTCTTTAACAGTATGTTGCCACCCAGAAAGACAAATAAACCTACTAACGAGCATTGTACGGTCACTTTCAGCTTCCAGGTACGGTGAAGGGATACCTATCAAGTTAACAGGGAATGGGAACCAGATATTGAAAGTCGGATGGAAAACTATTGTCGTTAGTTTGGAGAACTGTCAGGAAATGTAAAAGACGTCAATAAAATCCAAAGGGATGGTAGGACAACGATCACACGAGGCGGATTCTTGTTTCAAATCTCTGTGGATCCTCCGTATCCACCAACTCGGTTAACTTGCCGGCCATTCGCTTTTCGTTCTCTTAATTTCGTAAACAACACCCCCGCCGCGAGGTCGTGACTGTTAACGCGTAGCCGTGTGAGGATGTTTCGAGAGGGAGAGCTGAATTTCTCCACTCATACCGTATTAGGGAATTTGGAGGCAAGTGAGGAAGAATATTAGAGCTGAGAAGCAGAAATATGTGGCATACAGAGGAAAAGGCATGAAGAGAAAATATTAGAGAACTACATAACACGACGAAGAAACTAGCAGGGAAGTATAGGAAACCAGATAGACTGATCGAGAGTAAGGAAGGCTAGTCACACGCTGAGATTCAACAACAGAGAAACTCTTGGGTAGGACTTTTTGGAGAACTCTTGGATACATCAGCCCAGTGAGCGTACCAGATATCGATGCAACATACACATAGACCTTCGTATAACTGGAAACGTTCACGTACCTGGACAGCATACTCGATGAACATGGAGGATCAGATGCAGATGTAAGGGGGGAGGATTTACCAAGCGATGGCAACATTTCTACAATATACCCGAACTGGGGAATGTTTCAGGACTATATCAGGATTAGGACTAACCATTCCTTTCACCATTATACGAATAGCACCATACCGTAAATCATTCCAACCGATATTGTATTTCGTTCTTTCATTTAGATTCTAAAACTAAAATTTCTAAGCAGTACGAAATTGAGGGAGGATAAATGACATGAAGCTATAACAGCAGAGATTGAGTCAGGAAAAAGACGCGTGGTCACAACGCAAATATGGGAAACAACTAATCAAATTCCATATGGAAATCACTTATGTACGAATTCTAATAATTTCCTTTCTATTGTACGGCCAATTAATATTTATTGGATTGGTCTTGAATGTCCTTACTTTGCGTCGTGATGGCAGTTCCGAAAGTCCAAGTATTAGTGGTGAAACCACAGACTCAACAAGTACATTGAAAGCGACGACCTCCAAATGTAAGACAATGGGTCAGTTGTCACTCATCGTCGTACTGACGACTAAGTTGAAAGACAACTCTAGCTGAATATAGTAATTCATACCAGTAGATATTTTTCCATGAAAAATCCCGTATATTTAAGAATCAATAACACAAATATTATAATTTTGGAGAGTCTTAACTGAAAACTTTTTAAGGTTACTACCGGACTCTAGATTGGATAAGGATGAGCAACCATACGTCGCACTAAATAAATTCACTAAAAATCGCTAACCATAGTGGAATGATCAAACCATTTCAACTCTCCCCAGAGAGTTGAAGGTCTTCACATGGGACAGTTATGACCCGTAGTAATAAAAGCTGAGATGCCTAATAACCCATGAGGTCGACACCCTTTATGACAATCAGAACAACAATAAACATAAGGATATGGAGTGCTCAGACAATGTGAGACTGGTAAAATCACTGGAATGTCGACAGAAATAGGATGATACAACATGGTTGTGATAGAAATAAGTAAAATTCACTACTTGGAGTAACAGGAGGACTGTTATTATTTTCCGATCACGAAGAAAATCCCCCCTCCCACACACAAGGAGTTGCACTGGTGCTGCACAAACAAGAATGGGAAGTGATTATTGGATTAACACCCTACAACGATTACGAGTGTCATACAGTACATCGCACTCACTAATGTTGGTAACGAAAATGATAAAGATCAGTTTCATGAAGCTTCAGTCCATACTAGAGAAACAATGAAGCACTAGACCATCGCAATAGGAGACACAGGGTGGAGGAACGAAATGATAGTGGTGAAACTGGTAGGTCTATGTGCTTCCAACAAGACTGTGACGGACAGTGGCACTTTTCTCACAAAGCTATATGGGTTTTACCAAATCACACAACAGAAAAATAGGATAAGGAATTAACGGAATGGAACTCATTACCATACACGGATTCTTTTAAGTATGAAAAAAGTAGTTGATAACGTGGAAAGGAGAACCTGGTAAAATCTCCGGCACAACGGAGTACCTGAGAAAAATTTCGTTACCATACAGAGCTCCTATGGATACTGAATAGCAAAAGTTTTGCATTAATGCACCTCACGTTTAAATGAAGATTGGTGTCAGACAATACTGCCTAATCCTACCTCCTCATTCTTTTAGTCATTGGTTGGGCTATGAAGACAGCCACGTCTCAGAGGAAGTACGGAATACCGTGGACACCCTGGACGATTCGAACTTCAAAGGCACAAATGCAGACAGAAATAGCCAGTGTAGCAGTGCTCTTTGGAAAAACAGGCATTAAGATTAACACGAGCAGAAATACGATCCTGAAGTAAAACACAGTGAACATCAACCGAATTTCACTTGACAGAGAGGCTCTGGAAGAGGTAGAAGCCTTTACTCACCTGGACAGTATCCTAAATAAAAAAGGAAGATATAATGTGGATATGAAGGCACAAATTGGTAAAACAAGAGTGATATTCCTACAGTATAAAAATATCTGGAACTCAACAAAACTGTTAGAATTCGCAACACAAGCGTCAAGAGTTCTGTTACACGAGATTGAAACGTGGAGAAATACCGCAATTTCCTACAAAAAATGTACAGGTATTTATAAACAGTTGTCTACGCAAGATACTTCAGAGATAATGGCCGGAGACCGTTAGTAATAACCAACTGTAGCAGAGAGCAGGAAATTAAGAAAAAACAATGGAAGTGTATACACATTGCGAAAATCACTAAGCTGCATCACAAAGGACAACAAAACTTAGAGTCCCCCAAGTCAAAAGCAAAAGAAACATAACAAAGAGAATATGACGTCGAGATTTGGAGACTGAACTCGAAGTCATGGTTATCACATGGTGACAACTGGAAGGGACAGCCCAGGACGCAGTCAATTGGATAACTGGTAGACAGCCTATGTCTCTGTGAAGCTGCAGGATAAGCAAAAGCAGAAATTTTTAGTAGTTTTTCATACAATGATCATTAATAAGCAAACATCTCCAACTTTATCTCTTATTTGTTCTACTACAAGAAATTTTTATCTCATTTTTTGCCGACAGAAGTGTTCGAGTTAAAAGAGGAAAAGTATACATCTACATACAAGTCCATGACAATAATGGAAAAGGAGAAAAAAGGCAGACATAAATTAAGAATAGAGTAAGATAGATGATATAACGACAAGTCGATCAACTGGATAGCAGAAAATATAACACTATGATGACAGTCATATTAAAGATATAGATAATGTGGAGAAGACAATATGAAAATAACTGGCTTTGAAGGAAGAACAAGTCGAGGATAGATTCAATGCGAAAAATTCAACCCTAATTAGACTAATTAACAGTTTTGTCTGGTAAAAATAGACAAAATACTGAAGACCACTAAAAATATACAACGCTGAAAAGTTTATTGACAAATTTTGGATTGAGCTCCAGGGATAAATCTGACGGAACATTATGATTGGGATTTTATGAGTGCTTTTGATAAAGTAGAAATCTGCAAATTTGTTCATACACAGTAAATCGACAAGAGATAGAAACAAAAGACTTGAGTAAAGTGGGTCTTAATCCTTTAAAAAATGCTGAAGCTCCTTCCATTTGCCATATTTCAAGTAAGCACCTACAAAGACCATCATTTCTGATAGGAATTCGACCGAATTGAGCACGCGCTTCTTCAAAACCCTAGGGACAATTAAAATAAACAAATGGTACTGTAAACTTAACAGTTTGGTAGCCATATAAAAAACAACCAACAAATTAAATAACTTACATACGCCTTTAATTCCCTCTGTAGCTCTTCTAGAGTTACTCCCGATCCCAAGCCCGGATAAAGGAGGATGGTTGGGCATGGGGTTAGCGACCACATCCAGTTGAAAACTAACTCGCTAAAAATCTCTAGCCAGAAAAAATAATTCAAACCATTTAAACTCTGACCCGTGAGTTAGGTCTTCATTTAGAAGAACTATGATGCCTCATGGTGAAAGCCGAGTTCCTTCAGAATTCACGACGCCGATGCTCCTTCTAACAGCTAGAGCAACAATTTTCATAAGTAAATGGAACGTCCGTACAATGTGGGAGACCAGGAAGACCAGTCAAATAGCAACGGAAATTAGGAAATACAATGTGGCAGTACTAAGAATCGGCGAAACCCATTGGACCCAAACTGGACAACAAAGGCTAAATACAGGAGAGATGCTGCAGTACTCCGGTCACGAAGAGGAAAATGCTCCACACACTCAGGGAGTTGCCCTAATGATTCAGATCACTATCTAGTTGTGGCCTATTTAAAAATGTAGCTACGGAAGAACTGAACAACTGGACAAACAACACTACAAAGGTTCAATTCAGCTTTCCTTCGAGATACTAACAAATTCAACGAATTCATAACAGTCAGTCAGCTACAACGTAGGACCAGGCACATATATGCATTGGTCCAGGTTGCCATACCTCATTAACACAACAAGATGGACACTGGATTCATAAAAGTAGTTAATTCAGAGGTGGTAATATGTAAAAGACAGATTGCAATAAGAAGATAGTACAGGAAGAAAGAATTAGTTCGTAGAAAGAAAGATATGAAGTGGTTTCAATCTCTTAGTTTAAGGGAAGATAGAAAGTGTATACACCGACGCCATTGTGATCGATTCTGAGCCATGTCACAAAGTCTCCAACCATTGGTTGCGATAGTCACGCGGACCCCAACCAAATAGTCTGCATCTACCAACATGGCTCAGGATGGAGTTTGATGTCTTTAGATATTATATTAGTTAAACTAATTCCTCCTGGATGGAGATCAATACCCGAGAACTCAGTCGACGAGAAAGTTATTTCCATCAGTAGATCTATGATGAAGTTAAACAAAAATGGAGAAAGTGGACAGCCTTGACGGACACCACTTGAGGTTGCAAAAATAGATGACAGTTCGCCATAAGCTCTGACTCGACTATTAGTGTTCGAGTAAAGAGCCTTCACAAGGTTTATGTACTTCTGGGGTACGCCTTTCAATGGCAGACACTGCCACAGAATCTCGCGGTCTACAGAGTCATATGCTGCTTTCAAGTCAAGAAAGACCACAATTGTCGGACGCCGATAAGTATGCCTATGTTTTAGAACCTGAGGAATGGTGAATATGTGGTCGATGCAGCCACGACCAGGTCTGAAGCCAGCTTGATTTTCTCGTGTTTGCAGTTTACGAGTCTTAGTTAGGCGTTTGATAATTATCGAGGCTAGTATTTTAGATATTATATTAGTTAAACTAATTCCTCTATGGTTGTCACAGGATGATTTTACCCTCTCTTATATATTGGGAAGATCAGTGATTGTGACCAGTCAGATGGGATAACGTCTAACTCCCAGATCTTAGCTAAATTATTAGTCGACCTAATCGCTAAAATTGGACCACCATCCTTAAAGACCTCTGGAGCCAATCCATCTGGACCAGCTGCCCTTCCTCGCTTCAGACTAACTATAGCCTTTTGAACTTCTGCTAGAGTTGGGGGACCTACTTCAATGTTCCATTCACACTGTCTGGTAATGGTGGGTAGTTGTAAAGTAGCTGAAGACCAGCTGAACTGTTCCCTAAAATGTTCCGCCCATCGTTCTAAACGTCTAGACTGAGAGCAGATGAGGGTGTCGTCTTTTTCCGAAATAGTCTCACACTTCACTTATTAATTCGTTTCTTTTATGAGTTTGAAGAGCTGTCTTGTGTTCCCTATAGCCTCTGCCTTTTCCATCTCGTTTGTTTTGGTTGCACACCACTGCTCACGGTCGTTCCTCAGACTTTTGCTTAACCTAGATCTGATTTGTTGTCTCTCTTCATCGTGTTCAGAACCTGATGGGATGAGTTTACGAGAATCCATCAGTGCAATAGACCTTGAAGAAGTCCACTGGTTCTTTGTAACCCTGTGGTTTAAATCACTGATAGATGTCACTGCTGTTTCCACAGCAGTTTGTATAGCTTTCCAAGCAACATCTGGGTCAACCTCGTCTTCACAACTACCTAAGTGTGACCTCAGTTGTTCCTGGAACCTACTTTTGGTTTTCTCGTTACTCAACTCAGTTCTAACGAGTCTTTTTAATGTGGCTTTTTTGCGTCCAGTGAGGCGCAAGCAGATGCGTGCCCGTATTAGGGCATGGTCGGAGTCCAAGTAGGTACTCCAGAATGAGCGACAATCTTCTACCGACCCTCTCCAACGATGACTGATGGCAATATGGTCTATTTGAGTCCATCGTTGGTTTGGTGTAGGGGGTCGCCATGTTAGACGATGTCTCTCCTTATGCTTAAAATTTGTGTTTGCTAAAAATAAACGATTGTCTGAGCATAGCTGCAGCAGACGATCACCATTATCTGTTCGCTGTGTCGGAATACTAAAATATCCACCTAAATGCCTTTCTGTTTGGTTTAACCTACCTATCTGGACATTAAAGTCACCTGCTACGAGTACTATGTCTTTTTGAAGTCCAAAAAGCTTTCTGTGAAATTCATCTATCACTTCATTCAGGAAATTGGATTAGAGGTGGTCTTAGTGACCTGAGAGCGTGACCGCAGTGCCCAAGGGACAACTGCTTTAGGTCGGTCACACACAACCTTTTTATGGGTAATTTTTGTGTTAGCTCCGTACTTCTTGAGACCTTATCACCGGAGACGGATATCTGTGGGATAAGGCGAGGTGTGTATTTTTAGGGTCGACCTTTTCTAACCCCACCCCTCCTTGTGGGAAGGCAGTATCGCTGGTTGTTTGAAGGAAACACCTTACTGCTGTCACAACTCTGTACAGTCAGCAGTACGACTTCGCCTTCGGACCTTGGGTTTGTCGCTTTTGGTCTTACCGCTCATCAACCGACCTGTCTGACATGGTAGGACCTTGAGGAACAGTTGTTCTAGCCAGTATAGCTCGGTTGCTTCATCACGATGGGTAAGCCCGACCACCACGTCAAGGTATCGACAACGGTCAGGATTCATGATAGCTCTCAACAGCAGGTTCCATGCCTTACAAGATCTACCGAAGGAAGAAAGAACTACTATGGAGAACAACTGGAAAGGTATCAAAGAAACATTAACTTACTTTCTAGTCTGGCTAGTCACATGTTATTGATCTGAATTGTTTTGAAGTCCTGTAATACAGATACTAGAAGGCTATCTAGTGTAGATATTCGTCTAAGGTAAATTAACGTTCCATCCAAGTAGACAGAGAAACGGAGCGTTATAAGAGTTCAGAAATTATTCTAGTGAATCTGACAACCTGGAAGAGGTTGGAGTATGAGGTGCTTACAGAGGTGTGTAAATAATTCGACATCTAAACGGATATATTTTCTTATGGTATAAAGTGGACATTCAGTGAAGTAGAATAAAACATGATAATGGAAATGTTGCACGCCAAGAAAACTAAATAGATGAATTCATTAAACCTTCGTTTGTAAGCGAAAGCGTGATAAATTATTAAAAAGCTATCATGAATAACCAAAGAAACCTTTACTTATAATGATTAGAGCAATGTAAATAATATGACTTTTCGTGACGAAAATAATTGCCTCATGAAGAATATTTGATATAATCAAGTGCACATTGAACCTAAATGTAAGCTTCGCAATACCGTTACACCAAATTATAACTTTCCAAATGAGCTTTGTTTATTTTCGCTCTATAAATAACCTAGATACATTTGATGGATGAAACTATATGAATACAACTTTACTTTATGAAGTGAGATTGGACCAATTCAACAACAACAACATTAATATTTGGAAATATTGGTACCAAAAATTAAATACAAAACCTTACCCGAACTTGCATACGTTTTTTCACCATATCAAGTGGATATATTACACATTTGGATCCAATCCCTGCAAGTCCACCAGAGATCAAACTTTGAACAGGACCTTAGAGTTGGGAGACATAAGGTTTGTAAAACAATTAAGCTGATGATGACAGAAGAACAAGAATGAGATCGCTATAAAGATATAATGAAGTGAGTCAGTAGTAGAAAAGCGATAGGAGTACTTTTTTAAAAACTTATCTGAGTTAAAATAAAGTAGAACGAAGGGAATTTTCAACCTAATTATTCAGAATATAAGTGAGTTAAAATGTGTACATACACTAATTACAGACTACTAGAAACAGCACCATCTGGTTGTAAACCTTCATTGTACATAGAAACGAACAGAGTACCTAACATCGATGTTATAGTCTATTTTTAAATTTCTAGTCGTTAATAGGAGAGATCTGGTTAAAATTAAAGATGACATTCCACAGAAGACGCAGTGATTACGTTCGTACGATGAAGCAGGAGAAATGTGAGGGCGAAGATAAGAATGTCACGAGCCAAAATGAATGAATACAACAGTATACACGACTACCAATGAAATGTAAATTCATTCAAAAATTAACATGTTATTAATTTTCAAAATTTCTGTAGACTTCTAGGTTGCAATTAAGAACATGTACTGATCTGGCCCATAAATGGTGGAAGTACGACAATTGTATCTGATCAATGTATTCCTTTATATATTCAGTTTAGTGTTGTTTCTCACTTCTCATTCCCGTATCTGATTTATTTATTTGAAGACATAAATATTGGTACAAGAGGGCACAAAAATCTATCTCACCACACAAAATAATGAGAATTCGAAGAGAAGAAGGAAGAAAAGGCAAGGAGCGTAAAAGAGAAAAAAGGAAAATAATGAACAGATTAGTGCAGGGTAGTGTAATAATAATAATCCCGACCGAAGCTGCTACCTTGACGCGGTGGTCGGGCTTACCCATCGTGATGAAGCAACCGAGCTAAATTGGCTGGAACATATGTTCCTATAGGTTCTACCATGCCAGGCAGGTCGATTGGAGAACGGTAAGACTAAAAGCAACAACTCAAGGTCTGAGGGCGAAGTCGGACTGCTGACTGTAAAGGGGTGTGACAGCAGTAAGATGTTTCCCTCGGACAACCAGCATCTGCAGCGATGCTGCCTTCCCACAAGGAAGGAAGGGGTTAGAAAAGGTCGACCTTAAAGATGTCACACCTCACATTACCTCACGGATTTCCGTCTCCGGCGGTAAGGCCCTTTGAACTTACTTACTTACTTACGCCTGTTACTCCTCGTGAAGGAGCATAGGCCACTCACCAGCATTCTCCATCCAACCCTGTCCTGGGCAATCCTTTCCAGCTCCGTCCAGTTGTAATTCATCGTTTTCATATCTGCTTCTATTATCCGACGCAATGTGTTCTTTGGCCTTCCTCTTTTTCGCTTCCCTTCAGGATTCCAAGTTAGGGCTTGCCTCGTGATGCAGTTTGACGATTTGCGTAATGTATGTCCTATCCATTTCCATCGTCTTTTCCTAATTTCTTCTTCAGCTGGAAGTTGTAGCTCTAACAGGGTTACTGCCGGTCCCAAGCCCGGATAAAGGAGGAGGGTTGGGCATGGGGTTAGCGTCCCCATCCCGTAGAAAACTAACTCGCTAAAAAAACGCTTACCAGAAAAATAATCCAAGGCCCTTTGAAGAACGGAGCTAACACATTAAAAACCTTCCACGAAAAGGCCGTGCGCGACCGGCCTCAAGCAGTTGTCCCTTTGGCTCTGCGGTCACCCTTCCAGGTCGTTAAGACCAACACTAATCCAATTTCGTTTTCAGGTTGCTCAAGAAATACCCTTCAACGGTGTGGGCAGCCGGGAAGTGATATCAGCCCTCATACCCGTAACAGCACATGAGACCAAGTTGGTCACATTCAAATCCTTCCTACACCTCCTAATACCTCTCTTATCTCCATGACTAACCCTCCTCACGTCTCTTTATCATCTCGCACCGCTAGGGCAAACGATTCGTGTACGCGGAACGCTATTCCTGGTCTCCTGAAACCACGCACTAAACTACACGTAGGAGCTTTTAACGTCCGAACACTGTGCCAACTAGGACGGAAGGCTTCCTTAGCTAGGACTTTAGAATCCCGCGCCATCGATGTGTGCTGCGTCTCCGAAACGCGCATACAGGATCCGAGTAGTGTCATTCATTTGACATCACCATGTCAAAACAAAGAACCAACTCGATTCACACTTCGTGTATCTGGAAGTCCTGATTCTGCTTCCCGTGGCCTCGCCGGCGTAGGTATAGCATTGAGTCCTAGGGCAGAACTAGCACTCTTAGAGTGGACCCCAGTTGACAGTCGCTTGTGCGCTGTCCGACTGAACGGAACAGTAAGGGTCTGAAAAGATAGGGACACTCGTCGTTGCCTCTTCGTCGTCTCTGCCTATTCTCCCACTGACTGCAGCGCAGATGATGTAAAAGATGAGTTTTACAGAAAGCTCTCCGACCTTCTCCGAAAAGCTAGGCGCTCAGATGTAGTAATAGTGGCCGGTGACTTTAATGCTCAAGTAGGTAAACTAAGAGATAGGGAAAGACACCTGGGTGGATTTTATGATGTCGTGGCTCAAAGAACAGATAATGGCGACCGTGTGTTGCAGCTATGCTCAGATAACCGCCTGTTCCTTGCAAATACTAACTATAAGCATAAGGAAAAACATCTTTTTACATGGGGACTCCCTAGTTCGTCCCAACGTTGGACCCAAATTGATCACATCGCTATCAGCCACCGATGGAGGGGCTCGATAGAAGACTGTCACTTATTCTGGAGCACATGCTTAGATTCAGATCATGCACTAGTACGAGCGCGCATTTGTCTGCGTCTTACTGGACGTAGGAAAGACACTGGATCTCAGCAGCATCTCTCTCACTGATAGATGCTCGGAAACTCATTCCACCTGGCTCTGAACATAATGAAGAGCGGAGTCAGCTTAAGCGCAAGCTGACAAGAAGTCTACGCAATGATCGTGAACAGTGGTGGGTAGCGAAAGCAAGAGAGATGGAAAAGGCAGCGGCAATAGGTAATAGCAGACAATTGTTCAGACTTATTAAGGAAACCGGTATTAGGAAACCGACTGTTAGCGAAACAATCTCAGAGAAAGATGGACATATTATACATTCTCAATCCAGGAGATTGGATCGATGGGCAGAACACTTTAGGGATCAGTTCAACTGGCCTTCAGCCACACTTCGGTTTCCCACGATCTCTAGTCAACCTGAATGGCAAGTTAATGTAGGTCCTCCGTCTCTTTACGAAGTTGAAAAAGCCATAGGAAATCTGAAACGAGGGAGAGCAGCAGGCCCTGACAGGTTTACTCCTGAGATTTTTAAGGATGGTGGTCCAGTATTAGCAATGAGATTAACTGAGGTCTTAGGTAGAATTTGGGAACTGGACGTAATCCCATCTGACTGGTCTCAATCACTGATTGTGCCAGTCTATAAGAAAGGACAAAAGTCCTCTTGTGACAATCACAGAGGAATCAGTTTGACTAATATAGTGTCTAAAATATTAGCTTCAATAATACTTCGACGCCTAACTAAAGCTCGTGAAGAGCAGACTAGAGAAAACCAGGCTGGTTTTCGACCTGGACGTGGTTGTATAGATCAGATATTCACACTACGTCAGGTTCTAGAACACAGACACACATTCAGACGCCCCACAATGGTAGTATTTCTCGACCTTAAGGCGGCATTCGACTCTGTTGATCGTGAGGTTCTATGGCAGTGTTTGTCACTGAAAGGAGTACATTAACCTTATAAAGGCTCTCTACTCGAACACAACTGGTAGAGTGAGAGCTTATGGCGAACTGTCATCAGAATTGATTACCTCAAGTGGTGTTCGTCAGGGCTGTCCACTCTCCCCATTCTTGTTCAACTTTGTCATCGACGTACTTTTAGAGATAACACTCTCCTCATCTAAATTTCCAGGGGTTGAACTTCTACCGGGAGGTTCACTTGTTGACTTAGAATATGCTGATGACATAGTTTTATTTGGTGAAGACGCTGACAAAATGCAGAGTCTTCTGACCACTCTAAGCAACAATGCAAGCATGTTCGGGATGCGATTCTCCCCCTCGAAATGCAAAATGTTGCTTCAGGATTGGGTTGCATTGACACCCGAACTAATGATAGGGAGTGAAGTAGTTGAGCGTGTCGATCGCTTCACTTATCTTGGAAGTCTCATCAGCCCTTGTGGTCTGGTGTGTGACGAAATCTCAGCACGGATACAGAAGGCTCGACTAGCTTTTACCAACTTGCGTCATTTATGGCGTAGGCGAGATATCCGTCTATCAACCAAAGGACGTGTTTACTGCGCAGCAGTTCGTTCCGTCCTACTTTATGGCAGTGAAACATGGCCGGTAAGAGTAGAGGATATTCGTAGGTTACTAGTATTTGATCATAGGTGTCTTCGAAATATTGCTCGTATATCCTGGGACCATCGAGTAAGTAGTGCAGTTGTTAGGAAACGGGTACTAGGTAAGGATGGCAAATCAATTGATGACGTAGTGAAACTTCATCAGTTGAGATGGCTGGGACACGTGTTACGTATGCCCAACGACCGACTGCCTCGACGTGCGATGTTCAGTTGTATAGGAGTAGATTGGAAGAAAGCTAGGGGCGGCCAGACCAAAACATGGCACAAGTCCATGAAGTCACTGACAAGTGGACTGAGTCATGTTGGTAGGTGTAGACTACCTGGTTGGGGACCGCGAGATGATAGCAACCGATGGTTAGAGACCCTGAATGACATGGCTCAAAATCGTTTGCAATGGCGCAGGCGCATTCACCCCTTGTGTTCTCCCAAATTCTAATCTTCTGAATTCTTCACGTACTTTTTTTCTCTTTCCAAATTTATTTCGCTGGATTATATTCTTTGAATAACATCTTCAAACCCTAATTTTTTCTGATTACAGCTTATACTTTTACTATGTCTACCACTATGGGATTTGAATCGACAATTGTATCTCTATGCTAATGTCGTATGGCAACTCGAACTGATGTACGAACGTATGAAGTTCTACGTTGTTACTGACTGACTGACTGAATAATAATGATACTGGGGAAATGGAAAGGTACAATCAGAAGAAATCTTCCAGTTAAGGAAGAAACAACCGATTTTTACGAAGAAAGTAAAAGAAGGTTACAGCCGGATCGCCACTAGCTTCCATTTTGAGCCATATCTGATAACGTCTCGAGCCACTGTGTAGCACCATCTCTAGGACCACAGCCAGGGAGTCGTGAACGACCGACAGAATCCAGCCCTTTGCAGCTTTCTTTCATCCCACGACACCACGTCATATAATGACCATCTGTCCGCTTCTTCCAACCAGTCCCAGAGGCGGCAAATAATGCACGACGTGGAATTCTCTGGGACGACATTCGTAGAACATGTCCAAGCCACCGAAGTCGGTGTTTCAAGATGCATTATCATCTCTGTGTCTGAACACACGATGCCGAACCTCTGCATTACTAACATGGTGTTGCCACTGAATGTCAGCAATCCTTCAGAGACAACGATGATCGAACACAGAGAGTCGTCTAACATCCTCAACTCGGAGAGGCCAGGTTTCACAAGCATAGAGCAAAACTGCTCTCACCGACGCGTTGTAGACCCGACCTTTTACAGCCAAACTAACATCACGAAGGCGCCAAAGATTGCCCAGATTGGCATAAGCCGCTCTGGCTTTCACTATACGTGCAATGACCTCATCACTCACACCCCAACCAGCACATATGCAGCCACCTAGATACATGAACTTCTCAACTACTTCTATCTGCTCACCATCCAGAGTGAGTACAGGATTAGAATCCTGCCAGTCTTGCAGAAGTACTTTGCACTTCGGAGGTGCAAAGCACATACCATACCTACGGACACTGATTGTCAACTGATTAAGTGCGGATTCCATGTCTTGGGCATTATCGCACAGTAAGACAATATCGTCCGCATACTCAAGGTCGAGAAGTCTTTCTCCAGGCAACAGATCTACACCACCAATACTTACATCCATCAGAGCTGTTTCCAGAATGTCATCGATGGCAAAATTGAAGAGGAATGGTGAGATTGGGAAACCCTGTCTAACCCCACTGCTTGAATGGAACAATGGAGAAAGGTGGTTGTATGCCCTCACTCCGCCTGACGTGTTTGTATATAGGGCCTTTAGGTTGTTAATAAACTTCTCAGGCACACCCTTCTTCAATAGACAATCCCAGAGAACAGTCCTGTCCAACAAATCGAAGGCAACCCTGATGTCAAGAAACACTACGATTGTTGGCATTTGATAAGTATGACGGTGTTCTAACATTTGAGGGAGGGTGAAGATATGATCAATGCATCCTCGACCGGAACGAATACCAGCCTGCTCCTCGGTAGTCAATCTTTCTCGAATTTTGAACAACCTACGAAGTATGATGGAAGCCAAAAGAAACCCAGTGCTTATAAGCGGGACGTTTTGCGAACCCATAACTGACTGTACCCGCCATTCTTATGGCGTCATGCAATTGCAACCAATGCTCATCTATCCTTTTCGGTGGAATGGTGGCTAGCCTAGAAGCTAGCTCGGTTCGGTACTTACTAGCAACAGAAGTTGCAACCAGCTTGCTAACATCAATCCCTTGGTTGCAGTCACTTCGTTGGCCACTAAAAAGTAAGTTAAGATTGGCGCAGACCAGGGCATGATCAGAGTTCAGATAGGTACTCCAAAAGGAGCGGCAGTCTTGTACACAACCACGCCAGCGATAGCTGACCGCGATGTGATCAATCTGAGTCCAGGCTTGAGATGCACAGGGAGGACGCCAGGTGGTACATCAGCGATAACTGTGCCGGAAGTTAGTGCTAGTCAGAAACAGGTTGTGGTCTGTGCACAGTTGCAGCAGACGGTCCCCGTTAACTGTCCTGCGACCAACAAGTCCCCATCGGCCACCTAAACGACTCTCTTCTGTGCCTAGACGCCCGACCTGAGCATTCAAGTCTCCGGTAGGTACTGCAATATCTGTCGAAGACACTTTCTGGAGAAGAACAGATAACTGGTGGTAAAACTCATCCTTGATTGCATCCGGGCTGCAATCTGTCGGGGCATAGGCGGAGATGACGAAAAGACATCGTTTCTCACGCCGATTTATTCTCACTTTGATGGAACTTTGTAATCTAACAGCACATAACCGACTGTTAATGGGAATCCAATCGATTAGTGCTGCCTCAGCTCTAGTGCTTAGTGCGACACCAACGCCGGTAACACCAGACGAAAATGCCACATGGTTCCCGGATAAATGCACGTAAAACAAGCCTTTCGAAGCGATAGATGGAGAGCAAATTTGTAGTACTTCACCAGTCTTGAATACGGGTCTCGGATTTGTTCTTTATGAATAATATTTCTCACGTTTAGTTTTTCTTACAGTGGTTGATTTCATTTCGACTCATCTCATGTTGCTATTTTCCTTTCTCCTTGCGTTGATGTGAGTTGTAAAAACCTGGAAGGACACATTTGTATAATGCTCTATGCGGATAACTGATTGATAGTGTTGATATATGTACTAAATCCTATTCCACAAAGGTCTGGTTCTGGGAAAAAAATTGAAATTAAATTAACTCATTCAGCAGGTCCTTTCAGTGTGAGGGCTAATGATAATACCCGGATAATGGAAATGAATTATGTTTTGAAATATGGACACTTGAGCCAAATCAATGGACGGAAAAATAATAGATTTCATTAGTTAACAAAACATACCAACTGGACGGTTACCACTATGGAATTGTGGTGATTTATCAATGAGATTGGGATGTAAATAATACTTTCCTTGATTAATCATTTGGTTTAATGAATGATAAATGGCAAATTGAATCCCTGTTTGTGGTGCTATAAGAAGAAGAGATGGTACAAGCCCACGGAAAAACCCTTGAGCACCTTCACGAGTTATGATGGAAACAGCTGCATGTGACATGCTCCTAAAAAGTAAGAATACAATATTTAATTAATTGGTCATCGGGATCTCAGTGTATTCTGCAGTAGGAGTAGAATATCTGTTTAGCTTTCAAATGAACTTACTTCAAAGTCGTTCAGTGATCTCTGAAAAAGTCGATTACCCGTTGAAATATCGGTCAAGTAATGATAAAAGGCATCATTAGAACTCATACTGTGAGCACTTATTTACATGATCTTTCTATACACAGCCAATCTGTACATTATTACGGGGACTATAAAATAGATTCTCAGATAACCAGTACAGGTTCAGCCAGTCGCAACGTAGAACTTCATACGTTCGTACATCAGTTCGAGTTGCCATACGACATTAGCATAGAGATACAATTGTCGATTCAAATCCCATAGTGGTAGACATAGTAAAAGTATAAGCTGTAATCAGAAAAAATTAGGGTTTGAAGATGTTATTCAAAGAATATAATCCAGCGAAATAAATTTGGAAAGAGAAAAAAAGTACGTGAAGAATTCAGAAGATTAGAATTTGGGAGAACACAAGGGGTGAATGCGCCTGCGCCATTGCAAACGATTTTGAGCCATGTCATTCAAGGTCTCTAACCATCGGTTGCTATCATCTCGCGGTCCCCAACCAGGTAGTCTACACCTACCAATATGACTCAGTCCACTTGTCAGTGACTTCATGGACTTGTGCCATGTTTTGGTCTGGCCGCCCCTAGCTTTCTTCCTATCTACTCCTATACAACAAAACATCGCACATCGAGGCAGTCGGTGGTTGGACATACGTAACACATGTCCCAGCCATCTCAACTGATGAAGTTTCACTACGTCATCAATTGATTTGCCATCCTTACCTAGTACCCGTTTCCTAACAACTGCACTACTTACTCGATGGTCCCAGGATATACGAGCAATATTTCGAAGACACCTATGATCAAATACTAGTAACCTACGAATATCCTCTACTCTTACCGGCCATGTTTCACTGCCATAAAGTAGAAAGGAACGAACTGCTGCGCAGTAAACACGTCCTTTGGTTGATAGACGGATATCTCGCCTACGCCATAAATGACGTAAGTTGGTAAAAGCTAGTCGAGCCTTCTGTATCCGTGCTGAGATTTCGTCACACACCAGACCACAAGGGCTGATGAGTCTCCAAAGATAAGTGAAGCGATCGACACGCTCAATTACTTTACTCCCTATCATTAGTTCGGGTGTCAATGCAACCCAATCCTGAAGCAACATTTTGCATTTCGAGGGGGAGAATCACATCCCGAACATGCTTGTATTGTTGCTTATAGTGGTCAGAAGACTCTGTATTTTGTCAGCGTCTTCACCAAATAGAACTATGTCATCAGCATATTCTAAGTCTACAACTGAACCTCTCGGTAGAAGTTCAACCCCTGGAAATCTAGATGAGGAAAGTGTTATCTCTAAAAGTACGTCGATGACAAAGTTAAACAAGAATGGATAGAGTGGACAACCCTGACGAACACCACTTGAGGTAATCAATTCTGATGGCAGTTCGCCATAAGCTCTCACTCTACCAGTTGTGTTCGAGTAGAGAGCTTTTATAAGGTTAATGTACTCCTTTTAGTGACAAACACTGCCATAGAACCTCATGATCAACAGAGTCGAATGCCGCCTTAAGGTCGAGTAATACTACGATTGTGGGGCGTCTGAATATGTGTCTGTGTTCTAGAACCTGACGTAGTGTGAATATCTGGTCTATATACCCAAGTCCAGGTCGGAAACCAGTCTGGTTATCTCTGGTCTGTTCTTCACGAGCTTTAGTTAGGCGTCCAAGTATTGTATTAAGAATGATTAGTGCGTAGGATAGCTGAGAAACAGGCTAAAAGCAAAAATCTATTTAAACGAATCATATGAGCAAAATTGTACCTACGTGGCATGACGCCTTGGGAAACCGTCAATAAATATAATAGATTAACGACAAATATAGCATATCATTCAATGAATGTTGTTGAGTGACGTTGAGTACTTTAACATCAAATATTCAAACGTAATTTAAGTGAATCGGACGTGTTGAACGAAGGGTATTAACCACCGAAAAAGTAAAGTATGCTCCTCAGCAGACAACTGTCTAGACTTATCGAGGTAAAGGGTATTAAAAATGAGGCAGTTAGTGAAACTATCAGGGAAAAAGACGGGACTTTTATTTACTCACAATCCAGGAGATCAGATCAATGAGCAGTACACTTTAGGGAACAGTTCAACTGACCTAAAGTCACGCTTCAGTTATCCATTATCTTCAAGCAACCTGAAAATGGTAGTCCGGTGTCAAAAGTCAGATTACATGAAATCTTAGAATCTGGGAACTGGACGCAATCCTATCTAACTGGTCTCGATCGCTGATCGTCCCAGTCTAAAATTCTCTAATGATAATCACAGGGGACGGATTCAGAAAATTTGATTGTTTTTCGTCAGCTTGCATTACAAGTCGCGTAAGTGAGACATCCGTCTTCCAACTAAAAAGCAAGTTTACTGTGCAGTAGTTCTCTTCGTTCTACTGTGCGGGTGTGAAACATGAACATCAAGAATAGAGAATATTCATAGGTTATTGGTATTCCATCATAGGTGTCTTTGAAGCGTTCCCTGCGTATTTCGGGACCATGGAATAAGAAATGTCTGGGTAAGTAATAGGGTATTAGGTAAGAATGGTAAATCGATTGATGAAATAGTAAATCCTCATTAACTGAGGTGTTTGAGACATGTGTTACGAAAGCCCAACTCCCGCCAACCTTGACAGGCGATGTTGTGGTGTAGTAGCAGTAGTAGTTTGGAAGAGAGCTTGGAACGACCAAGCCGAAACATTGCATCAGTCCACGAAGGCATTTACAGCTGGGCTGGGCTATGTTAATGGGTGTAAACTACATAGTTGGGGTCTGCATGATTATTGTTACCAATGGCTAGAGGCTTTGAATGACTGCTCAAAATCATATGCAATGGCGCAGGTGCATTCATTCTACGTCTTTCCCCAAATTATGAGATCCTAAATAGCTAATCGTTCTGGTTTATGAAACTGGACAAAATCTTATTGCTATAACCTGATCAATATAGTGTCCAAAGTATTCGTTTATCAAACGAAAAATTCTCTCAGAGAAAAATGCTGAATAAACTAAGATTTCTAGATGTTTTCAGCAATAATCTTATGTTTGAAAGTGTTTCTCCTAGCCGAGAATCAAAATGTTTCAAAGATGGTTTGTATCTATGGCACGCTGCACCCTTATAAAGTGAAAACGGGTCAATGAACAATTCCACTAAGTCCTATGTTGTTAAAGACTGCTGAACAGAAATCCAAACTACTTACTTACACCTGCTGCCACTCACGGAGGAGCATAAGCTGCCCACCACCACTCTCCATCCAACTCTGTCCCGGGCAATCGTTTCCAGTTCTTTCCACTTCCTATTCATCCTTTTCATGTCTGACTCCAATTCCAGTCGTAGTGTGTTCTTCGGCATTCCACTTTCACGTTTACCTTGAGGATTTCAAGTTAGGGCTTGCCTCGTGATGCAGTTTGGTGATTTCCGTAATGTATGTCCTATCAACTCCAACTGTCCTTTCCTGATTTCCTCTTCAGACGGAACCTGGTTTGTTCTCTCTCACAGTAGGTTGTTGCTGATGGCTTTCGGTCAACGGATATTCAATATCTTACGTAGACAATTGTTCATAAATACTTGTACCGTTTTGATGATGTTTGTAGTAGTTCTCCAAGTTTCAGCTCCGTACAGTAGAACTGTCTTGACGTTCGTATTGAAGATTCTCACTTTCATATTGGTTGACAGTTGTTTTGAGTTCCATATGTTATTCAACTGTAGGAATACTGTCCTTGCTTTGCCGATCCTCGCCTTTATGTCTGCATCTGAACCTCTACGTGAACGTTTCCAACTCTTCCAGAGTTTCCCCATCAAGTGTGATTGGGTTAGTGTTCTGCGTGTTGTATTTGAGGATCTTGTTTTTTCCTTTGTGTATGTTAAGGCTTACTGATGCAGAGGCTTCTGCTACACTGGTTTTCTCCATCTGCATTTGTTGGTGTGTATGAGATAGGAAAGCTATGTCATTTGCGAGGTCCAAACCGTCTAGTTGTATGCAAGTTGTGCATTGTATTCCGTGTTACCTCTCCGATGTCGAGGTTTTCATAATCCAGTCGACTACGAAAAGAAAGAGGAAGGGTGAGAGTAAGCAGCCTTGTCTGACTTTAGCCCTTACTTGGATTGTATTTGATAGCTGTCCTCAATGCACGACTCTGCAATGTAGTCCGTCGTATGTTGACGACCTTCTCAAGTAAATCATAGTGTCGAGGGGACATTTATCATTTGGAATATGAGAAACGCTTCTCAACTCATTTATCCATTGAAAAATCAAATGTAAATATATGGACGTAGAAGTCTAGATATTTCTGAGATCAAAACGATTTGACCTGCACTCTAAACTTACATTCCACACAGTTTATAAATCGCTGAAGGCAACTTTAAAAATACACATATATTACTAGACAAGTCAACTGGGAGCTAACGATAGCACTATTGAAGAAGCTTACCCGTAAGTTTTCGGCTCACCTTGAGCAATGAAACGTGTGCGTAGGACGTCTAATGGTTGAGTAACTACTGCTGCTAAAGAGCCCGCTCCACATCCGCACAGAAAGTTACCAATAGGTTTGTAGGTAATAGGTAAGCCAAATATTTTGTTATCTGAAATAAGGAGACTGTTGACTTCACGCAGCCACGAAAGAATCACTTCAAAAGTAAGAAACTGAACACTAGTGAACGTAACCGACTGCATTTGAGCAGGAACATGACCTTTCCAAAAAGCAATGGCACCCTCTTCCTTGCTTATGCACCTGACAGCTTGCATAAGACCTTGATACTTGCTCGTTCTGGAAACTTCGATTGGTTCCATTTGTAGCTACTCAGAATTTAGAAAAAAACTAAGATGCCTACCTGAAAACGTATTTTAATTACGTCCAAAGGTTGTACAACTGCCCTAGCAACAAAACCACTGACAGAGCCAGCAAGAAGGTACTCATTTTTCGATAAACCAGTTTCTCTATCCTGTACTTGCACCATCACTCTGAGATTTTTATATACTTGACATTTTCAACTGAGTTTACGGTGGCAACTGCGTTGATTGTTCAGCAACGCGTGACTCCTTGCAACCAAAAGTAGAAAAAAAACACTAGATACTGATAAAACATGTAAGGAAAATTATGAATCTGTAGGCGCACTAACCCTGGAATGGATCACCAGATTATATAATGTGTAACTTCAGTGATTTAGGTTACCACAATCAGTCAGTCAGATACAACATAGGACCAGGCACATATGTGCAACGGTCCAAATTGCCATAACTCACTAGCACAACAAGATGAACACCGAATTCATAGCAGTTAATTCAGTGGTGGTAATGTTTGAAAGAAATTTTTTGTATAAGGATATAACGCATAAGAAAGAATTAGTTCGTAGAAATAAAGGAATTCAGCAATTTTAACCTCATGGTTTAAGGGAAGACAAAGAATGTATAAACCTACGCCACTGTCATCGATTCTGAACCATGTTACCAAGAGTCTCCAACTATTGGTCACGATATTTAAATGGACCCCAACTAAATAGTCTACATCTACCAACATGGATAAGATTAGAAGTTAGTAACTGTATGGACTGATACCACGTTTTAGTTTGGCCGCCCCTAACTTTCTTCCAACCATCCCCAACACAAGTCAGCATTACGCGTCGTGGTAATCAGTGTTCAGGCATACGTGACACGTGCCCCAATCATCCCAGTCGATGAAGATTTAAAACCTCATCAACTGATTTACTATCATTCCATAATACCATGTGTCTAACCTTACTGTTACTTACCCGGACAGAGTATGAGCATTTGCAAATACTGTCATCATAACTTTAAAGCGCAGATCGATGAATCAGCGTCTAAGTACAAATTACTCACTTTACTAGCGATAAAATCAACAAGACGTTTGAGTGGAATAGAACTCATTAAATATATCAACACTATCAATCAGTTATCCGCATAGAGCATTATACAAATGTGTCCTTCCAGGTTTTTACAACTCACATCAACGCAAGGAGAAAGGAAAATAGCAACATGAGATGAGTCGAAATGAAATCAACCACTGTAAGAAAAACTAAACGTGAGAAATATTATTCATAAATAACAAATCGGATACGAGGATGAAAAGTGAGAAACAACACTAAATTGAATATATAAAAGAATACACTGATCAAACGTAACTGTCGCACTGCAACAATTCATGGGTCAAATCTTTATGCAACTCGGAATCTCTACATTTCCCTAGAATTTTCTACAGCGGCTTCCCTGTAACGGGTAAAATTTTTCCCGCAATTGGGAGATTGGGTCGAAACACAAATTGGGATTATTTCAAGAATTTCACGTGCCTAACAGGCTAATTTTACTTGTTTTAAGTCAATGTTCCGGCTTATCATATACCTGTCTAATCACGAAGCTTTACCGCCACGTGAGTCTCCTTGTACCCTGACGTATCTAAACGAAGAACCGTGAAAGCGAGATAATGAAGAAACCTCAATTATGATTTAAGACAGGCATATGTTGATTACGTTTAGTCGTCAGACGTTTCGATAAGTCTGTACAACTTGTCCGAATATGGTATTTCATTCTCATAAAATAACAATTACGTCAAAAATGGTTAAAATGATTCAAATGGTTGTGGGCGGAATAGAAGAAGCTTTCGCTTAACAGGCTTCCGCGTCTAGTAGCAGAGGATCATGAATAACTACAGGCAAGAACCTAGGTATATTACCGATAAAAGAGGAAAAAGGGAATTGGTAAATCATAGTATGATGATATTCTTAGACCTTAAGAATAGATCAAGTTGCCTCTTAAAGGACTCCTGGGAAGTCGCTTGGACTAGCTCGGCCGTCAGCGAATTCCGGTAGTTGACAACTCTTAAGGAGTAGAAGCTGTGTCTACAATCCGTTCTACTTTGTTGTGTCTTTAATTTCTGGGTGTTATCCCTTAGGTTGGTATTGGGACTAAGCTTAAGTAGGTGTTTAAGATGTCCAGAAGTATTAAGGATACTGTAAGCCATCAGAAGGTCACCTTTAAGACGCCTATACTATAATGAGTGGAGGTTCAGTAATTGGAGGCGCTCTTCATAAGGTTTAAATTTGAGTCCCCGAACTGACTTCGTGGCTCACCGTTGGATACACTCCAGAGTGTCTTTATCCTTTTGGAGTGAGGGGGAAAATATTATGTTTCCGCACTCTAAATGGGGATGGACAAAACTATTGAAGATTATGTGGAAAGTTCTTCCGTCAAACTGGCCAAAAATATGCTTCAATGTCACCAGTGCAAGGTTTGCTAGAAAGGCATTTTTGTTCTTTATATGCTCGTATTGTCTCCACGCTCCATTGTTGTCAGTTCATTTATATTCTGCCCAACAGTGTTTTTTGCAGCTTAGCAGGCGAATAGTGTGGTTCTTGATGATTTTAGGTTGCTTGTAGCTTTTGGGGAACGTTTGAGGGACTGGCTGCTTTGTTGCACATAAGATCGTGTGCAGCAAGAAGTCCCAATGAACATCCACATCGAGTTGAGGGTGAACATCGCTATCCATTTGTTGTAGATAGTCCTTTAGAGCTGACACATTCAACCGTTTGAAATTCCAGCGCATGTTGTTGGTAAGATATCTTAGCTCAGTTTTGCTGACAAAACTGAAAGCCATAACGGCGTGATCGCTTTTCCCCGGGTAAGCCAGTATTGAGAGGTTGTCAACTAGGAATTCTTTGTTTGTAAATACACAGTCTAAGCGCGACGGTGTCTGACTGTTTCTCCAAAGAGTTGCCGACTTAACATTTTCGTATAATCCCAAATCCTCAATGAGGTTGAAGAACCGAGTTTCAGTTGAGTTTTCACCTCCAATATACATATGTTTCGCGAAATTGACTCTATGGAGATTGAAGTCCCCTAGAATCGGGATATGAGTGAAACCGAGACGCGTAAAGCGGTACATTCTTTCCAGCATACGGCTTTCATACTCGATGTCGGCGGTGGGCTTCCTATATTTGACGCCAACTAGGCACCTCGAAGTAGCAGACAATTTTACAGAGCACCATATGGATTCCTCGAGATTGTTAAACTTGAGGTCATGAACTTGGTGTACCTCCAAGCAAGATCGTATGTATACGGCTACTTCACCCTCAATTCCTGTTTTTCTGTCGTTGCGAAACAAAGACATCCCAGGCATTGCTAACTCCTGGTTCGAGAACTGAGAAGGTATCCAAGATTCAGATATCCCTATCAGGTGAGCATTAGTAGTATTGCTAATCTCACTCAGCTCATCCATTTTGTTTGGTAGACTCGCAGCGTTCATGTATAAGCAGTTTATGCTTTCGATTTAAAACGCGTGAGCTCCTTCCTGTTTGTCTGTGTGAGCATTACGTGCATGGACAGGTGACCTACCAATATAAGGTTTGCCGAGTTGGTAGGCCCTGTGCTTTACACGTTTTTTATAATCAAGACAGCCCACAAGTAGAACGATCGGCTCCGACTTGCCTTTGTGCTTGGTACTGGCTTCATATGGCCTGTCAGGGTGCATGTGGATTCCAGTTGGCAACCGACGTCTGTTGGTACGAAATTCTTCCAGAGTTGCAGCCGCCATATGGGAGGATGGAAAAGTTATCCTCATTAACCGGGGTCTAGAATTACCGTCCTTCTTGGCTAGTCTCGTCACATGTTGAGCCAGTATGTTTTTGAGCCTCAAAGACTGTTTGATGAATTTCCATCCCCTAATATCAGAGTTTGCTTGACTAGGGTCCATGTTTTTCGGTACACCTTGCACAATTATATTTCTTCCGCGGGAAAACTTCTCGCGAGATTCTTTAGGGATGTTCCGGATGAGATTGCTCTCAGAATACGGAATGTCGGGCAGTATTCTTACGTTTCCACTGGATGTCAGTAAATGACTAGCTAGAAGGGCATCCTCTACGTCGGTAGCATTCTTAAGTGTTACTCGAAGTCAAATCGTTATAAAGTTGAATCGAATCAAAGTTAATCTAACAGCATGGTTAATATTGAGATATATCTGAATCTAATTGTATATGATGTTGTCGTCAATGATCTGAGGTAATCTCATGACCGACTTCCTAATATATAAATTTCTTCGTATACACTTACATGAATTTATTCCTACCTGGACAATTAATAATCATGTAAACAGCACTTGTCCAGTAAGCAAATATCATCTTCCTGATAATTCCATATTTATAATAATTGATTGTGACTTGTACATATGCTATTTCGTACACACATTTGTAAGTCCTGTTAAAATACCTTTTCATATGCTTGTTGGTATATGTCTGCCCACTGAGTTATCTAGAACATTCTTGCATATTTCACCCCATATTATTCATCTACCCAATCCAAATACAAAATATTTTAGTTCACTCAAATGGTCTAGCTAACGTTTTCTAGAACCTAGAGCCTATAACTTTTTCCAGTCGTGATTCTATGTGTGAGAAGAAAACTGGGAATAGAACGAGCAAACAATCGTCGTACTAAACAAATTAACTAAAAATCTCTTATCAACATGGAATGATCAAACCATTTCAACTCTCCCCAGAGAGTTGAAGGGTCTTCACATGGGACAGTTATGACCCGTAGTAATAAAAGCTGAGATGCCTAATAACCCATGAGGTCGACACCCTTTATGACAATCAGAACAACAATAAACATAAGGATATGGAGTGCTCAGACAATGTGAGACTGGTAAAATCACTGAGATATTAATAGAAGTGAAACTGTGGCGGTAAATAAATCCCCAAATGATAATTCTTTAACTCTTTGATATTTAATGCCGACACATCTAACTGAAGGCGTTCGGTCATGCAACCGCGCCAAATCCCGAGTGAGTACGGTGTACTTCACATCGCTTTCAACCGTTAACCAGCTTAGATCAAATGCCTCTCGACGTATCGATAGCTTACCCAATATATCTTCACTTCTGACTTCCGATTTGATTAGGTTGATATACTTAGGGGTGTTATGTGTACAGGCGTTAACAAACTCCGAGTCCTTGTTGATCTTTTGTAGGATGTAGAAGTTTTGTCAAGTCAGCCAGTGTCTTCATAGCTTCAGGGGTGAATCTTAATGGAACGATTGCGAGAAATATTTAATACTTCTATGGATCCCAAATATATTTCCTACATCGTAACTGATGCTTGGATTTTCCATTCTAGAAAGTGAGCTCAAATTCACATATAACTTTACACTATAAAGTAGCTGTGAGTATATCAGTGTAGAGGTAAATAATTCCCCAAAATAAATAGCTCTGTGGGTTTTCGACATTGGATGCTGGCTACATTAGTTTCAATGGACTCAACTAGCTGAAGGCGCTAGGTCACGAGTGGGAACACTGTTCTCAACATCCCGTCCAATCGCTAGCCAGATTAGATCAGACGATCCTCGATATATTGACAGCTTATCAAATATATTCGCGAACCTCCTCGCTTCTGTCTTTTGATTTCACTTGGTGGGTATGCAGAATTATGGTCTACTATGATATTAGTACTGCTCTAATAATAAACCTAATCCTAAAATTATAGACTTATCATGATATAACTGTCTAATCTATAAGATCTTACGTGGAAGTTACATCCTCGTCTACACCAGCTCACTGTATCTTAACAATTATCAATACATGGTGGAGAACAAGCTTAGGCTAGAGATAGAACAATATATTTAATATGAATAAAAAATATAAGGTAACATTCAGTAGGGACCACGCCTGCATGGCCGAGCTATGCCATTCGACCAACTCCAACTCATTCAATTCCTTATTCTCGCCTTCTCCATCGTTAGGTATTTCTCTGCGTTAAATATTGAATATCTATCTTCCGAGTAATTTCGTGGATTGTGGATTGTGTGATTATTGTCCAATGCCACTACAGGTACGCTTCATATAGAAGGTGTTGCTGGTTAAAGCGCTGACAAACTCCGAATACCTGTGGCATCTTCATCAGCAATTAGATGAAGATATAGCTAATATCTGAAATAAGACTTTTGAATAGACAAACTTTGACCAAGAGTGAATAAAAGTTCAGTAATTCCAAATTCAATCATTCAAATATGGAAATAAATTAGTCTTTCGTTAATTAAAGTATAATATACTGAAGACCCCGGGTGACATACATGCAAACCAGTAAATGCTGCTTGTAATAAACAATAGAAACACAAAGTAACAAAATAACTTCGAAACGACAATCTTGATCCTGTAGGGCTAGTGAAATGTCAGTAGGCCCAAGTAATACAACAATCAGGCCACTGATTTTTAAGGACAACCAACGCATATCAATGGTCCATGCTGTGGTGGTACCACTCTCCTGTACCTATTTCGTGCCTATATGTAACCCTCGTTCTATTGATAGAAGAAACTAGTCTTTATTTAGATCTTTAAGCAGTCATAGTGGAGTGTGGGGTCACCTGTTCAGACAAACAAAGCTTTTCAGCATTCAATGTAAGATAATAGGTA